GTACGTTAACGCAGTTTTTTTGAAAATGATAAATTATTTTGAAAGGCTTTTGCTCACTGGCTCTGAATACACATAGGAGGGGTGGATATCAGCCTGCAAATCACCCACCCAAACAAGCAGCGGAGGGAGGCTTCGGCAGGCTACGCTGGATGCAGCGAGTAAACAGCAGGTGCCCTACTGAGAGTAACCATGGCAACGGGTTCTGTGCGCTACACAGCTGTAGCCTATTTAAGTTAAGTTAAAATTATAGGCTACATAACTTTACCTGATAGGCCTTCATCTAGTTTTGCGGGGATGCTCTAAACAGTAATAGATTCTGGAAACTCACAAACAGCGAGGATCAGTCTCTCTTCCATTGATTTGTGCTGCGCGTTGCGTACAAAAAGTTCAAGACAAATCAACTTCGGCAGCAGGCGGGCTTGTTGGATCTTGCTCAACCACTTCACCTCACTGTAACAGGGACACTTGCTACTGATTGAACATAGACTGTTTATGCTGCTCCCTGATAAAAGAAAAATGCTTCTGCTGATACCTGTTCAGAAAAGAAAAAAAAATGATGATGGTAACTTGTTTTAACAAGCTAAATAAAAGGTAATTCCCTGGCAGTGGCAAATAGCTTTGGTTTAATATTTTAATTTGATTACATTAATGTTAAAGTTGAGATTTACCTTAAATATTTTATTGCTACTGTGTAAAGGGAATACTGCTGGTAAAAAGCACATTATTTGTTTAAAGTGTTTACAAACCACATGTGATTGCACTTTTGTGCATATAGCAGTACATTTAAATTAAAAGTGCGTGATTACAAGTGATTATATTTAATCGCGATTAAAAATTTTATTCGTTGCCCAGCACTAATTATTATTAACATGCAGCCACACGTTCCTCCAACACATTTATCTCAGATGCCCTTCCTTCCTGCACTGACACCCTGGAATGTGTAGCACCCCAGGCAAAATGACTCCACTCGTGCTCTTAGACGACTTTGTCCTTGTAGAAGGACATAGTATTATTGGAAAAAAGACAAACTCCAGGAGATTGCTTAAAAGCTTTACCAAAGCTCTAACTCTTTCTTAAACTTAACTTAACTCTGCTGCTGTGGTTGCTACCTCTGCTCCCACTTCTGAAACCTGTGATAAGTTTATGAATTTCTTCATCAACAAAACTGACAACATAAGATTTCACATCTCACCTTAAGACTCTCAGAGGCAAATCATCCAGTCAGCTCCCTCCAGCAGATTCAACCTATGCCTACCTCCCAGCTATTTGAGGTGGTCTTGCGTATTAATCCCACCTACTGTCCCTTAGACATTATACCGTCAGGCCTATTCAAGAAAGCTTTTGTCACAATATGCCCTCTACTTTTGGTTATAATTAATAGCTGTTTAACGAATGGTGTTGTCCCTTCCAGTTTTAAACATGCAATTATGCAGGCCCTATTAAAGAAACCTTGTCTAGACATTGACCATAAAGGCCCATCTCCAAGCTACCATTTATTGCTAAGATTTTGGAGAAAGTTGCCTTCTCTCAGGTCTCCTTGAACAAGGTTTTGACAGAATTGATCATGGAATTCTTTAAAATGCTTGGAGGACAAAGTTGGTCTGCGGGGCACAGTGTAAACATTTACCTCCTACCTGAGAAAAATAACCTTTACAGTCAGAATAGGAACCTCTTCGTCATTCCCTGCTTCATGTGGAAACAAATTTGCAAGATGTAGTTAAAAATAATCATGTCCTGTTTCTTTTTTGGACATTTCTTTGAATTTTAAAAAACAAGTCGGTAGTGTTGTGAAGGCCAGCATTTATCATCTTAGAACCATAGCCAGTTATACTGTACATGGATTTCATCACCTCTCGGCTGGATTACTGTAATTCACTCGACCCATTCCACAATTTCTCAACTTCAAATGGTTTAAAATTTTACTAACGTTTTTTACTTTACGTTTTTAAAGTCCTTAATGGATTAGCTCTACAATGTATTGCTGATATGCTGATCACATGTTCTGCTCTTAGGTTTCTTAGGTCATCTTCACAACTCCTCTCAGTACGCCACTCACGCCTCACAACAAAAGGTGGCCGAGCCTTTTCTGTTGCTGCCTCATGGCTCTGGAATATTCTCCTGTCCGACATTAAGTCCTCTCCCAGCATTGAGAATTTCAGTTTTTTAAATCTAATCTAAACACCTACCTTTTTTTCTCTGGGTTTTAGTTCATTTGACTAATTTGACTTAATGTTTTTGTCAAGGCCACTCATTTATTTTTACGTCTTCTCACAGCATTTTAATCTGTTGTTAGTCTTATTTTCCTTTTTAGTTTCTAATTTTACTTCTTCTGATTTAGATTTTTACCTTGTACTCCTTATTCCTTTTATTAATGTATACATGTATTTGTGTATATTGTGTATTTGGAGCACTTTGGGTCAACTTCTGTTGTTTTTAAATGTGCTATATAAATAAAGAGCACTAGAAATCACAATAGCTTAGATTTTGTTATCTAATGTTAGTCTAATTATAAAAAAGGCCTAACAATAAATTAGGGAGCTACAGCAGAATGTAATGGCGTGTTTACAATTTAAGTTTTGGGTTTATGTTTGGATTATGGATGGCCTTATGATTATTGAACATTGGGGGGGAAATAATGGGTCAATGGCTCCAGATATATAAACCTAAAACTCAACATTCACTGTTTATTAAAGATCTCTTTTATTTTAAAGCTCATTCGTGTCTCACAGAAACATTGCCTGGAAGCACAAGTGGTTAATTATTATTATTTTTAATCTTGCTGTGTCAAAATTAGCGAATGCTGTTGTAAATATGGATGCACACAGTCCTTTCACTGTGTCCTCTTTCCTGGCACGTCCTTGATAAAGCATCACTGCAGAGTGCACATAAACACAAGGAAGTTACCACATTTAGTTCACATAAATCCTTAATAAAAAATTTAAAAACTGCAGTAGCTTGCTTCTCCTTGAGTTTCAGTAATAGAATATCTCAAATCGAATCTTACACTAATAAAAAGTTTTCATATTTTAGGAAAATTAATTAATTTCATATTAATTTATTCTCAGTCACACACTGTTTCCATTAAACCTCTTTTCAGTCTTTGAGCATTTACTGAACAGAATGTTCAATGTGTGGCTGTTTTAGTTATTTAAATTGAGAAAACAAATGTAAATATGAGGAAGGATGAGGATGCAAACAATCTAGTATGAATGGGGAATCGGGTGACGAAACACCAGAGCAAAACAAAGGCCTATATGCCTCAGGATGGTGACAGGAGGACAAAAATAGCTCAGGAGAAGTGGCAGAGCACACCCATTGCCAGTTTCTGACCAGTTTGCTTCAAACCCTCAGCTAAAAAATGCAAGGGTATGGAGAATTATTACTGCAGCTTGCCAGTTTTCCAGTCTGTAAGACCTTTGATATCTTCGACTGAAAGAGCTTGTATCTTCCAATTTGACACCGTTTACTGATGAATAGAAATTGCGCACAACAGAAATTATTGAGACGCTTGAGAAAACAATGTACTGTAGTATTCAGCATTTTCAGCAGGTCTGACAAAGTAATAAGAAGAAAACCCTGTGTTTAGTATTCACACAAATTGATTCACTGACATAAAGAGATGGAGACTTTTCATTTCCTTCCAATTTCTCTATGGATGCATAAAATTCATTATGGCTGCTTGGGCAAGAGGCTGCATCAACTGTAAACCAGACGTGAGATGCAGTCTTGATTTGATAAACAAGATCAAACACATCGATTGTGGAGGGCACCTTGTTTAAGTGTATTAAAACATGTGCATATAAAAGAACATCAGTTGTCTACATACAAACAGTTCAGTCTGAAGAGAGGCTTTACATTCGGTTTGTTCTATAAAGAATGACTTGAACTTTGGCCAATCATTTATAGTTGGTCAAAATACCTGGAGCAGTTTACATAAAGTTAGGGCTGCAAAAAAATTATATTTACCATCAAATAATTATCAATTTTTTTTCTTCATTTCTCATTTGGTCCATAAAATGTCACTACACAGTATGACAATCAAGATTTCTCAAAGCCCAAGATTAGATATCTAAATTGCTTGCTTGCAGTACAAAACCCAAATATATTTAGTTCATTAGTTTAGAAGACTAAGAAAATCAGCAAATATCCACATCAATAAGCTGAAACCGTACTCAGGCACGGTGAAGTTTTGAGCTAAATGCTCATAACAGCATGGGAGCACTCTCACAAGGACAATGCTTACATACTAGTGATTAGCAGTGGGTTTAACAACAACAGGAATGTGCCAAATTTCCAGTGGTTCATTATGACAAGTACACTGACAAAGTACTGTACTTAAATACAATTTTGAGGTACTTTCCATTTTATGTTACTTTATACCTCTACTCCACTACATTTCAGACAGAAATATTGTGTGTGCATATATATATATATATTTTTTTTTTACAAAACTACATTTATTTAATCCTTTAGTTACATAAATACTCATGTACTTTTATTTAAGTGACATTTTGAATGTCTGACTTTACAGTATTTCTACTCTGTGGTTTTGCTAGTTTTTCTTAAGTTAAAAAAAAAAAAGAAAAGAAAAATAAAATATCTGACTATTTTGCCCACCACAGAAAATTTCATGGCAAAACTTTGTACCAATCCATCAAGTGAATGCTTACATACTTCACATCAAGTGAAAACCTTTACCTGCTGGTGGCACTAGAGGAAAAGTCAGAGGATCACCAAAGTCATTAGAATTTATCCTCCAGGGACCCTGGATATCTGTAGCAAAGCTTCTTGGCAGTCGATTCATTAGTTGTTGAGATATTTCAGTCTGTACCGAAGTAGTGGGCCAACTAACTGACAGACATTTTTATCCCTAGAGTCGCGCCACTAGCCTGGCTGAAAATTCATAGATTAGTCAAAATAGTTGCCAATTTTGAGTAAGCACAGGAGCCTGATTTTAAGGATAATAAATGTTGAGATGGAGACAAACTGAGACACAGATATTAACAGTACTAAAGCAAAGTTTATTAGAATAAACAAAGAAAACATCACAAAGACAAAATAGCTATAAATCTATCATTTCCTCATTTTGTTTCTCAGCGTGTACAGTGTGTTAACTCCAGACTTCAATGTGTAGATCATTTAGATTTAAACTGTGGGTGTAGAGGATCTGCTAACCTTCAACCTTTAAACTGTCACAAATATCCCAGAGGATGTTTTTGGTGAAGAAAATTTCTGGGTTTTTCCTATTTATAGTCACACATTATTCCACACGGACGCAATCACACATGCGCGCACACACACACTCTCAGACCAATGTCTTTACTTTGGTCTTTTTGTTGTCCTAACAGGGTGCCACACACTTTGCCCAGAGACTCTTGTCTACATGAAGAGTGCTACACTCATCACGTAGCACTTTCAGGGCCTCAACGGTTGACAAATCACTGAAGTCCGAAGGACGAACATGCACTCACTGTTTATTTATAATTATTTACAAATCTGTTCGCTTCCTCGTCATTTTGCCCATCATTTCCTCCTCTCACAAAGTGGGGGTTCGGATGACGGTTGAGGTTAGTGGATCCTCGTCAGCTCCTCCACAATCTTAATGACCTCGTCCACTGTGGCTTCACGCTTCATGCCGCTGCCGTCATCGATCTGAAATTGAACGACACTAAACAGTGAGACTCCACTACTTAGACAAACCTCACCGGTGCCACTTGCTTTAGAACAAATAAACAGCTAAATGCAAAAAAGAGGGAGGCATGTGTTTTCAAAAGCATTTTACGCAGTCTGTCTGCAATGATATTACTCACTGTTTTCCATTTTCATTTCAGTTGTTGTAAGATAAAATTATTTTATAAGCTCCTGGGAATCTTTTATCTCGCCTGTACCGATTGCATCATTTTAACCTATTTTTTCCAATGACTGCATTTTATCAGTGTATTTTTGCATCAGTTTTCTACTTTATCTCAAAGTGATGTTAATGAAGTGTTTCCTCACTCTATCCTTGAGTACCCCCTTTGTCCTGGTTCTGTTTTAGATTCCAGAATAAATTCAAAGGGCTTTATTGGCATGGGAAACAGGCATCTACATTGCCAAAGCAAAAGTGAAATAAAACATGTACATAAAGAGAAGATCTCTCCCTGCTGTTTTCAAGCAGCTTCACAGTTCATAACTAGTTGATCATTTTAGTCAGCTGTTTTGAAGCAGGGAGAGAGAGGGAGGTCTGGGAAACTAAGCTACAAACCTAACCATCATCTAGCTGTTCTTAGGCTTTTTCTGCTGTACACCATGATTGTTCCCAGTATTGTTTAAAGGCTTAAATAAAGCCTGCAAAGATCAGTCAATTAATCAATTAGTTATCAACAAATTTTATTACTCAGCTATTTTGATAATTTATTAAGTAGTGCTGTGCAATGACAAAAAAAATTTTAATCGCATGATTTTCTGCGATTAATCGTTACGCACAGAACTGAATAATGAATTCTAGTAAAAGTAGTGTATTGCGCACTTTTAATTTAAATGTACTGCTATATATACAAAAGTGCAATCACATGTGGTTTGCAAACAATAAGGCGCTTTTTACCAGCAGTATTCCCTTTACACAATAGCAATAAAATATTTCTTGTAAATCTCAACTTAAACATTAATTGTAATCAAATCAAATATAAAACCAAAGCTAATTACCACTGCCAGGGCATTACCTTTTATCTAGCTTATTAAAACAAGAACCACGATGATAACTTCATAACAGGCACCTTCTGAGCAACAGGTTAACATATATAAATGTGTTTTCTTGTTGTTTTTTCTGAACATGTATCAGCAGAAACATTTCAGAAACAGTCAGAAAACGTGAGATCGGATTCCCATGAATGAGAAAAGCAGGAATTTCCTCTGCCTGGAGATACTGGGGAAATGAAAATAAGCTCCATAGGCTGATGCGGATCAATCGCTGGGAGGCACACACTCCTGCACATGCTTAATTGTTAAAAAAATAAAAAAATACTAGCAGGAAGTGAGGATTGAACACTCAACCCTCCAAACGGGAGTCCTGTGCACTTCTGACTGAGCAAATTGCACAAACAGCCCACTATCTAATGACCTGGAAAAAAATCTAATGACCTGGAAAAAAGTCAATAATGAATTATTTCAAAAGGTGCATATTTTTTTTTTTAGTTGCACAGGGATGAAAGTGAGCAACTGATGCTTCAACATATTTTATTTTTAAACCAATGTTCCAACTTTATTAAAATTTTGGCTTTAAACATGATATTCCTGGCAAATAAATTGTTAAACATTGTTGAACTGTCTTTATCAGCTGGCCTTGAGAGGCAAACAGGGAAAAGCTTTGTTTATGAGTTAAAAGTGTAAATTTTTCAAATAAAATGAGTGTAAAGAGAGACACAAAGCAGACTATGCTTATTTGTTTATTTTCCAAAAGTGATTTTGCCACCTGTTCTGCCATGAAAGACATTCCCAGCTCCCACTCACACAGCACAGGAGCAATTAATAATAAGTCTGAAGGGACTTTAAAAGTTCAACATTGCTTGAAGGCAAATCACGGTATTAGTTTGCTTCTTCACCTGATGCTTCTGGGAAAACTGAAGTTGTTATCAGAGCAGAGGTCCAGGCTCTAATAACAAACATATGTCTTCCTGTTATTAAGCTAACTTTCCAAGTCTATTATAGGCCACAAGCTGGCAAAGACAGAACTGCTGAGTAAGCTTAATGAACTTTTTAAGTATGAAACAATCCAGTGTTCCCAGTATTAAAGTAACTCTCCAGTCCAGACTTTTTTTCCATGAATGTAGGATGAAACAATCACATTTCACCTGGTTCAACACACAGTATACAAGTGTGGATGAAGATGAGCTCCTACCTGTAGAGTACTGACGACTTCCTGCATCTTGGCTCGGCCGAGATCCAGGAAGCTCTCAATCAGATCCCCGTCGATAAATCCCGTGGCCAGTTCTGTCTTACGCTCTGTGTGGAAGGATCTCCAGGTGCAGCGGAGTCAAGGAAAATCTATACAAGGCTATCTCTGCTGAGGATCGCACGTTAGGTACAATGTCACATATTTTATCTCAGGCAGAGTCGACAAATGTTCAGCATAATGTGTCCAATAAAAACAACCTTTTTCAGAAGAGCAGACACCCAGTGTTGTCAGACAATCAGGTTCCATTATTGGTACTATTGAACCAGTAGAGAGAACTGGTGTTTAAACTGCAGCTTCACTAGAAGCATAAAGAACACATTTTTTAAAAATCATTTGAAGAGCAACTGAAAAAAGCAAATGAGACTTAAACGACTGAACATCAAAATTGTCAATCAGTTAACTGACGCATTGGCTAATGGTTTCAACTCTATATATGAATCGTATAATCAAATTCTATTCAAGCATGAGATGTCAATCAAACACCAACGAAGCCAATTAAAGTTACTATAATCATTTTGTCGCTCTCTAGATTAACCGCCAAGACAAACACACCTGTCAGTGCAGGTTGTCTCTGTCCCAGTGACAGATGGTGAGTGCAAATTTGAATATAAGAAGGATATAAGCTGTGCTCGATCTTGCCCACGCTCTTGATGACCTTGTTGAGGCGGTTCTGCAGGTCCAGGAGGAGGCTGTACCAGCCCTCAGACAGGGATGTCACAAGACCTAACACACACACACACACAGACACACGCGTATGTCAGTCAACAAACACAACATTTTTTTTGTTGAAGATGTAATATTCTAACAGATTTGCACCTCACTGCAGCAGATGGCAATTACTTTTCATTTCTCATCAGCAAGACGGAAGGAAGACATTTTAGGGCTGGATTCATAATAAAACTCATAAAAGCTTTAAAATAAATAAATTAAAAGCTCACTAGTGTGACTGCAATCCTCCTAATGCAAGTTTTGTGCTTGTATGCTGGGAATATGTTAGGAGTAAAGTAGTATGATTTCACTATTTCAATAATTCAAGACCATTCCTAAGTGTTTTACTTCGAGAGTGATTTCCGTGTAAATCACTGAGCTTTGAGGGAGTAGCATGCTTTCCTCTACCCTAAAACATTCTGTGACAGTGGGTGCGTTATTGTAATGCTCTGGGGAAATAATCTGCACTGAAATTGACAGTACACACAAAAAAGAACAAAGGGCTTCATTGATTTTAATGCAGAGCCCGTTTCTCTGCATGTGAAGCCATGAAAGAGTTCTGGGACAAGCTGCCAGGAACAGTTTAGAGGACAACAGGAGGATACATCTAATGATTTTCATTATCAATTAATCAGCAGACAGTTTTCTTGATTCATGTATTTAATTGCACTTTTCCATTCCATGTGTTGTTTTATATGAATTCCTTTGTTTATTTTTAAGGGAATGCCATCAAGGTACACTCTTTTACACACTTTTATTGTGCTCTTACATTTTTATAACTATTTTTATTTTATTTTATTAATTTCTTTGTACTAATTTTATTATTTAGTCTTATTACAAAAAGTGTTTCTCCATCCAAGTGTTTCTATGTGCATTTTTAATCTGAAAATAAATAAACTAGCCTGTGTCAGTGGAAAACCTCAAAATAAATGAACAAAAAAGTGTAGATAAGTTAGTGTATCTATTAAAGCAAAATTAGACTAAATGGAATGGAAACATTGCATTGTTGCATTTTGCTGATTTGCAGAAACATCAGATCTCTGTGGAACGATAAAGACTGTAACCTTCATCAAATCAATATATGAAACAGAAAAATAAATTCCAACATGTTTTCTTTCATGAGTTTGGACTGGAGCTCTTAATGATGCCACCTCGTCATGCACTCTTCCTCAGTAGCGGATGGAAACACACATTCATTTGCATTTTCTTTTGCTGCCTCTCTGAAAATTGGTTTAAATTTTGATGGAAACCTGACTAATTACTGCAATATTTGTATACTGACTTATTTATCCAAATAAAGAGATTTTTTTTATAACATTTTAAATAAATACTTGTTGTCTGACCAACGCAGAGAGATTATCAATTCGAAGGTATTCAAAAAGTGATATAAAACAGAAACCAAAGAATACTTGTCATTTTTGCTTTTTTGTTTTGGATTTCACAGAGAAATGTGAATGTACACCTATAAAGTCTTGAGAACAAAACTGACCATCATTTATGAGCAGCAATACATTTTTAATAAAGCTTTGAGTTTGGATAAAATCCTTTGACATTAAATGACATTTGTCTTCGTCCCCTTCACCTACAATATCGGTGTGATAATCTTTCAATCACAACATGTCTGGGTTTTCGAGAATGTGACCAAAACAAGTGCATTAGAAGTTTATCTACTTGTTGGTTGGTGTTTGGGTAGAATAAGCTTGTGGCCTGCAGCTTCTCGCCAGAAAGATCTATATCACACCATCTCGAGGAGCGATAAGACTAGCAGGGGCATTTTTCTTCATTACACACGGAGGGCCTTTTGGTTTAAAGGCCAATGTGTTTTTACTGGACTGTACAATGGTTCTTATTTCCTGCTAAACTTTCCACAGAGTCTTTTTAGAGGAATCACAGAAGGTGAAATAAAGTGCTGTGTGTTGTTGGTGCGGTGGAGTGCATGGTGTAAATTACTGCTGTGTCCAAATGATGTGCACTCCCTATTTTTCATCTCTGCCATCATAATTGCCATGTTGAAAGTTACTAGTTTAAATCTGAGTAATGACGTGTAAAACTATGATTTCTCTCCCATTCTGAAAGGGAAACATTAGTTGTGAATAAATGGTTTTGACAAAAGTTGGTGTAGGCTACTCCCTAATTTGTTCTCCTTACTGCAGTTGGCTGATTAGTGGAAATACTGGAAATGAGAACGATCTCTGTGTGCAATGGTACAGCCTCAAACGGACAACTGGTGGTGAACTATTTACTGATTTGTCAGTTAGTGGATTAAAACCTAATGCTCATGCTTATTGTTTACTTTACTGAGAGATTTCACAGGGTTTTATTATAAATATAACGCCACCCCATCGGGGTTCTCGCTCTTTATACTATGTCACCTGACCTCCTTCTCAGCTCCAATCAAGCCCCTAGAGGCTTCATGAATATAAACGTAAATATGGGTCGTAATATGCTGCATGGCAATTGACCTATATGGCCGTTTATCTTTTCCTTTCCAGTGAATCAAGATGGAGGCAGAAATCTGAGCAATGAATATCGCACAATTTTATAAAATAAATCCACAACTGTCAGTGTGGTTGGACACTAGAGATAAGTGGTGAAAATGTTTTAGTGAACAAACACTTCAGGGGAAAATTCAAGGGTGAAAAAAAATAAAGCATTTCATAGTTTGACATTTTGAGAAATATGCTTTCACTGTCTTGCTGACTGATCAGAAGATTGAAGCTTCTTCATTTCTCAGTTAGCTTAGCTTAGCACAAAGGCTGTAAACAGGGGGAGACAGCTAGCCTGGCAGAATGTACAAAAGCCTACCAACACCTCTAAAGCTCACTAATAAACACATTACATGTTGGTGTAACCTGTACAAAAACAGAAGTAAAAAACATCAGTTTGCTGTTTTATTTAAGTTAGTTACCAGGCAACCAGAAGATGTTATTGCTTCTAGCCAAGAAAAACCCAGAATTCTCATTTTTACACCTTTGGTTTTGTATATTTTAAACAAGCAAGAAATAACATATCAGTGAGCTTTAGATGTTGAATTTATTACCTTTGGACAAACCCAGGCTAGCTGCACCATCTGCTCCAGTCTTTGTACTAAACTAAGCTAACCTAACCTGCAGTAGCCTTACTGAATATTTATTGTACAGACATGAGAGTATTGTGGGATGGTGATGGGACAGTGGATACGACACCTGCCTTTGGTGTGAGAGACCTGGGTTCAACTCCCCATTGTGACACATCCACCAATGTGTCCCTGAGCAAGACACTTAACCCCTAGGCATGCGACCCGACATATATAGCAATTGTAAGTCGCTTTGGATGAACGCTACAGCTAAATGAATAAATGTAAATGTATTGTGAGGTAAATGATCTTCTCCTCTAACAAAGCATACAATTGTATTTGCAAAATGTTAAAAAATATTTCTTTAGGAGGTTAATTTGAAACTTATGGTTAATGGTTAAAAAATAAACAATTTCAAAACTTAAAAAGGCATGGTAAAAATAAATTAAATATTTAATACAGCAGGGGTTTTTCCTACAGCAATATTTGTGTGTGTGTGTGCGTGTGTATGAATGCTTCTGTGAGTGTGTAATTGTCCGTGTGCTTACCAATCATGCCGTTAACGGTGCCAAAGAGCACAGAGCCCTGAGTAGGCGTGGAGCTCTCGCCCAAGTTCTGCAGCACCAGTGAGCCGTGGCAGAAGACATTGACAAACTCGCCGAGGTGGAAGACCCCCACCTCCTGCAGGTGCTGCCTCTCCTCGTCTGTGGTGGCCGCACTGACGGTGGGAGAGAAATACAAAAGGGGGGGTGGATTACAAACATTGGGGAACATTTGGGGTGTAGAGGGGTCAAGACAGGAGCAAATACAAAGAGGAGATATTAAAATAAAACGAAATTTTGGGGGGCCAGAGTGATAGATTAAGCAAAAGGAAAACAAGAGGGGCAGAGACATCAGAAGCATTGGAAAAGGTCAGAGTGATGGAGAGGTAATGAATTAAAAATAAAAAGGGTGAGGAAAAGTGAAGAAACCAACAATAAAGAGAGATGTGATATAAAAATAAAGGTGAAAAGCATTAAATGGTCCGACCTGATGTATTAGATGGATAATAAGTGGTGGCATAAATGTAACACACTCTATTTCAGACCACATCTTTCTTCCTTTCCCATGAAATCCACACTTGTCTAATATAAAATGACTAAAGTGGGAAATGCAGCCGAGCGGCTAAAAGCTCAGTGGCGACTCATAATTCCCGAAACAAATGCAAGGACAATGCTGTTAGCTGACATTTGTAGCGATGATGCTGCAGTAAAAAGTATCATGAGACTCATGTTGAAAGAGCAGCCTGCTAATGACATAACATTGACTTTAGAGGATGAATATTAGAGGTGATTTAGATACTTGTTGGCAGTTGGGCTACAGAGGAGCAGCTCAATGATTTCAGGAAAAGGCTGAAATTCATATGCATAAAATCTCACTGCACTTCACCATTTATTTACAATACGATTTTATGTTTCCCTCACCTGTCCTTCTGGCAGACAAACAGATTAAAGGCGTTTTCTGCCCCCAGGAAGTTGTCGTCGTCCAGGATTTCCACTGCACTCATCCAGTTAGGATTGAAGTCACGTGCAATCTGACCAGAAAAAAAAACAACAACAACAACAAAAAAAAAAAAACATGAGATGCACTGCATAAAAGAGCTGTTGTGTCAAAACTCTCCAAGTAAATACTGTATTATCTATGAGCAGGGAAGTGTTGACTCCAAACAAGTGCTGAAATTCAGTGCTGAGTTTTTATTATTGCAACATTTTGATTTGCAAGGTCTTCGTCAGACATAACATCCATGTAAACAGATAATCACAGCTCCAGCTGTATACTGTATATATTGTCTGTACACATAGCCTGATTTTGTTTACATGGATGTTTGCCCGACGGAGACCTTACGGGAACCTGGCACCTGTACCTAGCTGAGGTTGGATGTACACAATATCCACATTTTTGCTTTTAGGATCGATACCACTCTCATATCTGAGCGTTATCTATGGAGCTGGAGCCAGAGGATAATAATCTTAGCATAAAGTAACATTTGTAACATGTTTAATAGTTACAAAGTCCTACTTGTAATCTAAAATGCTGAGGCATTCTCAGGTATGTTCTGTTTCCTTTTCCCAAGTCTCTCACACTTAATACACTGAGCCCAGCACCACAGCATGCGTTTAACAGTGTGCGTGACTCGGTGTCAAATCTCTTCATCTTTCTACCACAAATCAGTTTCAACATTGCTTCTCAAAAGGCTGGGAGTTTTATGTCAGCTACAAGGCTTGATAGAAAAAAGAAACTGTATACACCAAAGAGAAGTTAAAACAAGCAAGTCTGGATAAACAGACAGCAACCAAATATTAGATTGATGTGTCATAGTAAAAAAATAAAAGCTACCACCTACTTTCAAAACCAGCAGCCTTGGCTGAAAATGACCCTGATTTGTGTTTTCATAGACATCTTTGGTATAAAGCAACCTCATACAAACGGGTTTGCCCTTTAAGCCCTGGATAGATTCGCTTTTAACTCCACATTCGCATATGTTAAGATGGCTGTCATGCATATCCTGTGTTCCTTTGGAGCATAGGTTGTGCACGTCTCTAGAAATTAATGCTACGTGTCCGTGAGATGCAATTCAGCACATGAACGTGGCGGCGGTATTTCGACCTGACAGGCAAGTCAGCACACACCAGCCCAAGTGGTGGCGGTATGCAGCTGGTTTGCTAACCGCCATTAAACACAAAAGAAGAAGAAGAAGGTGGTGGGCAGCAGACTTAAAAAAGTAGATTTATGGTGGGATGTTTACAATAAAACTCCTGGAGCTATTCCACAATTACCGAGATTGTTATGATGTCTCATTAAAATCATAACCACCTCGAGGTTTGCTATGTTTGGTTTGTTTACATTATGCAAATTCGGAGGTTGTCAAGGAAGATGATCCGGTGTCGGCGAGGGATGATCCGGCCCCGTTCTGCCCCCTAGTGGATTCACGTTTAATCCTCCACTACGCAAAGTATGCAGGCAAGTATGTGAACAATGCTGTTTGCGTCGCCAATGCCTGTCTACGCCTACGCACTGTTAAAAAGCAAACTCTCTTCACATCTCACCTCTTCAAAGTTGCCCTCCATGGGTTTGTATGCCAGCAGGAGGACGGACCTCATCAGGTCTCCCACCAGGATGAAATCTCCTTTGGTCTTCAGGTAAAGGGCCATAATGTTGTTGTAGTGGTTACACTCTGTCCTCAGCTCCTTCTCAGCTGTCCACTCGTACAGACGGACCTGAAACAAACAGTCAAGGTGAGTAATCGTTTGTTGTCACAGGCTGCCAAAAGGTAGAGGATCAGCAATTAGCTCCAGCAGTATTTGCTGAACTGGCTGACACTTTGTTCCACATTGCCATCACTTTGGATAAGATGTGCCTCAGTGAGTGAGAGGATGAAGTGTTGATTAAAAGTCTGAGCTATCAGCCGCCACATTACATGAACGGCTAATTACACTCACCGTTTCACACTGTCGCCACCTTTCTAACAATGTTTAAAAATGGTTTTGGGTTGAGTGATTGGTAGAGATTTGTCTCTGGATATAACTGCCTTTCACATGATGCCAATGAGATGTCAAAAAAAACTGTGGCATGTTTTTTTTGTATTCAAAATTGAGGTCAATGATTTTTTAATTGTACTGTAATTAGGATTGTGTTATTAAAACGGAAGAAAAGAGGTCTTTGTTGAAATGCCACAAGTGTTCCTCTTCATTTATCTGCATAAAGTGGGTCTAACATTTACCTGGACGGATATAGTAAAGCAGGGTACCCCTGGATTTTCAAAATTAAAGATTTTTAAAGAAAAGATTTTTTAAAGACCTTTTTAATACCACCTAGGATGAAATTTAATGCAGTGACTTCACTGCTGTATAATGGAAATCTGTATGAATTTTAAGCCTGAGAAAATTACTATTTACAAAGTTACCTGAATATTGTAAAACATTTTATTATAATACTCACATTCATATTTAATACACGAAAGCTCTTTGGGGTGCGTTTATACTCTGATAACATAAAATGAATCAAGGATGTCACTTTGTGTTGAATGAGTGGTGAGGACACAGGGGTTCACAATAGGGGTGTGACGATATATTTAGCACACATGTACGATTCACAATATTGGGTTCACAATATTTTAGAAGTATTTTGATAAAATATTCAATTCTGAAATATATAAATGGGAGGTCTGGGGGTCGTCCCCTAGAAAATTTAGAGCATTAAACACTTAATTGCGTGCATTGTGCACCAATTTGTGGTAGAATTGTCTTTATTTAAATAAAGTGAAACAGAAAATTCAGATTTCAATTCAAACAGAATATAATGCAGTAATCAGCAGCTTGTTTTTTAGCTTAAGTTACTTTTTTGGACAATGCACATTTGTTTCTTCTATAGTTACATTGCATGGTTTCTCATTGTGTAAATAAACCTTTCTAAAGCATTTTCTTTTTTAACATTTCTTGTTGCAAGCCATTTTTCAGAACATATTTAACAAATGCTTTAAAAAAAAAAACAGTGATGGAAACATGTCCTCAGTGTAAATGATACCTATGAAATGAATACAATATTTGAGAACTCTTACGGTGTGAAACCAAAAATACAAAATAAATTGTGAAGTTTAAGTTGTTACACCTTAGCTAGATAAAGTAATGTAATATAAAATGCCAGTTGCTTCAGTGATTATTCATGTTGTTCTGTTTTTGCAAATAAAATCTGGTTGAAATAGTTACAGAACTGTCTTGAAAGCAGCAGGGATAAAAAGTTGGGCTCCGGTTAGTTTTTTTTCTCATCAGGGTGATCGGCGCATCTGGGTGATGTAAGTTCAATGTGCGTTAGCATGTTGGATACTTCCATTCACATAACGTTACCCTACAACGGTGACGCAACTCCGACACACAGACGGTGAGAAACACGGTCCTCGTCTTATACACAAATGTCTCTCCGTTGCATTCACTGGGTCTTCCTGCTCTGCTTATTCATTAGTGCTCTCCATAGTGCACTCCTATCCGCTTGTTGGGCAAACGGCAGCGCACTGCTCTTTACGCCCCAACTTTTCCAAATCTCTGGCCGTCTGAACTTCAGACACTTGCCCATTCTGATTCAACCAGCTAACGTTAGCTTGTTAGTAGCACTTCAGAGACGCTTTTTTCCCGTTCCTAACAACTGACTGACACGTGTAGAGCTTGGATGCCAGAGCTTGTGCACAGCGAACACTCCACAGTCCAGAGCGTAAAGCTAAACACTGACGTGAACAGTAACATTACCTGTACTGCCGTATAACATCCAAGTCACACCAAACAAGTAAATTGTGAAGCCTTCATAAAATTTCACCTGTTTGGTTTCTGATGTTTTCAGATATGTATGCATGTAGCAGATTAAACTCAGGGTTAAATCAGTCATTTTGAAGTGTCACTCCAGTTATATTAGAGTGAAATGAGTAATTCAGTGAAGAAAATGTTAAAGAAAGAAAGTGGTAGGAAGTTTGTCCTTGAACTGTGTAACAAGTTCCAGATATCTGCTACCCATGACAATTTGATTCTGGATATCTTAAGATGAAGCTGCCTTTTCAAGCTTTTAATCCTTTTAATCTATCTATAGCTCAGTGTGGATGAGCGTGGCATTACAGGACAGTAGGAGGGTAGCCGTTTCTTTCCTACTGTTTGTCGAGTGATTTCACAGAGAAATCCATATGGGATAAATCTATTTACACATTGGACTTTAAAATGACAAAGGGGGCACTTTTCTTCCTGAATAGATCACATGCTTCTTAAACAATCAAAGAAAGTAAAGTCAAACTGCACAAGTCATCCAGAGGTTGACTTACTGGTGAAACATTTGAGTCAATTAAGTATTGAGGTATTCAACTGAACACAGTGAAGGTCTTCTGGACCAAAAGGTTTCCTAATATAGAAGATGCTATAAATGTCAGAAAATAAAAATAAACCTTCTGTATTCTGGTAACAATTAAGTAATCTGAACAGTTTGTTGTCAGAGGGTCTGACTATTATGGCTAGGTGTTAAACCTCATTACTTCAGTCAAAACATGGAATCAAATGCTTGGTCAGACTCTTGGTCTTGTTTAGTTAGGGGACCAAGCCCGAGTGGGCTGGGAACCCGCAAATGCAAGGCCCTATTGTTTTCACTCAGATTTTTATTTTTTCAAACTTGGCATGGATAATCTCTGGACCAAGCTGATGAAAGTTTGTAGAGGAAATTTTTATCCGACTAAAAATGTCGCAAAAAACGCTATAAACAGGAAATGATGTCATATCTTCGGTTTGGAATGGCCGATCGACACCAAATTTGGAGCATTAATGTGGAACGCCCTCCTGAGGGCCTGTGCAAAATTTGGCCCCTAGGTGGCACTATTTAAGCCGAAATAATTCTTCCTCTATAACCACAAGTCACTTTGACATGAAACCAGTGCCCAATTATTCAGCATGGTCCCCTTACTACAGGCACCAACGTTCACCCAAATATACCCATAGGTGGCGCTGTTATTGCAGATTAAAGACGCCCAAAAAAATCCCATTGACTTACATGCATTTTATATCTCCAAAACCTCAACTCCGATTGATACCAAATTTGGGCCACTTGCAATTGTACTGACTCGCAATTCGGCCAAAAGGTGGCGTGATGATCGAAGCTCAAATACCGTCGCACAATCCCATTCATTTCAATGGGATTTTCAAACAAAGGACATTTTGCCTCGTAACTACGGCCCACTACATCGCGCATTCTTAAACCTTAGGTCTACGTGTTTGGGGGATGCTGCCGATTCCTATGGTATAGGACACGCCTCTGTGCGATGACATTTTCATTTCGCGAAATCGCAAAAACTGGAAAACCTTTTTTAATTAACTCTTCCGAAGCCGCAAGTCTGAAGAAGACTTTGTAGAGGGAATTTTGATCAGACAAAAAAAACGCCCAATTATAACACGTTTTTGCGCAAACCCCAAAAACTAGGATGTCATCTAAGATCTTACATTTGCAATGGCCGATCTACTCCAAACTCGGGGATCTTAGCTGGCTGGCCCGCCCTCCTGAGGGGCTGTGTGAAATTTGGTGTCAATCGGCCAAAAGGTGCCACTATTATCAAAAAACACTCCCATTCACATACATTCATTTTATATTTCCATAACCACAAGTCCGATTCATACCAAATTTGGGTCAATTCTTCCCCACGGGCGCCTGATGACACCTTAAAAAATTGGTGCAATTCCGCTTACAGGTGGCGCTAAAATCGAAGCTGAAATCTCTCATTAAATCCCATTCATTCCAATGGCATTTTCAAACGCAGGACATTTTGCCACGGTTTCGAATGGCCGATCAAGATCAAACTTCAGGACCTTATCCGGCACGACGGCGGGGCGCCCGGGCCGACTCGCGCGACCTCCGCCGTGCCAGCTGCTTGCAGTTCTAGTTATATTTGTATTTTCATCATAACCTTCATACTTCTATTTTTGCTAAGTTCTTGTACGGCTGATTGAGTCAAAACTATGTGAAAAACACTGATGAATTTGAGTTTGGTGTATTTCATTAAATAAAAACTTTGTAAATATATAGTACCAAACTTAGGTACTGTATTGGTCAACAGTTATTTAAAGGTTACCCAGTCCTAGTGATTACATGTAGCATTAACATATTCTCACATTGTACATGAGGGAATATGTCAGCGTTAAAAAAGGAACGTGATAGTTTTCCAATAGAGAAACTGGAATTTAGCAACTGTAAAGTCTCCCTAGTTATTTGCATCAACCTCCAGTGTAAACACAATCATATGACAACTGACGGTTCTGAAAACAGAAGCTGAACTGAGAGATGCTGTTTTTAATCTCAGCACCAGATGGTGAATTATGATGAGTGTGGAAAGTAAATAAGCAATGACTATAGGGTGTGCACTTGAAAGAGGCACTTGGTTGGCACCTTCCCAAGTGCTGGGAGTAACCATGAAGATTTGTATTGTACTAACAAGTCTGAAGACTTTTTGACAGTGAGTCTGAGGTAAAAGAAATCTGACAAATTAACATGGTTCAAAATGTACCTTTAAGTAAATTTAACATTCAAGCAACATTTTTCTACAAGCCTTTAAACATATTGTACAACATAACTGCAGTTCGGCAAGGAAAGAGTCAAGTACTTTGTATGTATGAAAGCTGAAAGCTCTACACCATCAAGCACCACTTACTGTGCTATTGATGCTGGCCAGCAGTTTGCCATTGAACTCCACCATAGAATAGACAGCTCCTTTAACCTCCTTCTCAGCCACGGTTTGCAGCTTACCTGCAGGAAAGAGCATAGTGTCTGTCAGACTGTCTGTTAACATTCAAAGTGTTATCCACTCAATGTCAACCTAAACAACCACACACAAGATCTTAGCGAGGTATACTGCTCGACTACTGGAGAATGATCTGGGAAAAATTGAAAAAAAGAAGATGAGGCATTCAGAAAAAGGAATGAAAAGCTGAAGAGGATGAAGTAAATGCACAGTGACAGAGTATGAAGGAAAGTGACGGGAACCAGTACAGGTGAGAAGAGAAAAATCTGATAGGGAGTGAAAAGAAAATTATGAAGTGAGGAGTGAAGCAAGAGCATGGTAGGACAAAATGTCCGACAAAATTAAAAAAAAACAGGACAGAAGCTGGGGAGGAGAAAATGAAACAGGGTGAAGGATAAAGAAAGCAAAGCAAAATGAGCTGGATGAGAAAACAAACAGGATAAGGTTGAGGAACAAGACAAGGAAGTGCATTCAAGTTTGTGTTTGTTAAAAACAGATATGGCTAAAGAAAAGCCTGGCTACTGACCGTCGGTGTAGTGGAAGACCACGATGCGTCCCTGCTTGGGCTCAGCCTCCTCTGGGTACACCATGGCAGTGCCGACAATAAAATACACTGACGGGTCTTTTCCCAGACGACATGACACCATGCTGAGGGCGTACTCACTGGGGAGGAACTGATGGGCATGCAGGACTGACAGAGATAAAAAAAAATAATAAATAAGGTGAGAGTAGCACAATGCATCTCTGATATTAAGATTTTACATTACTGTCTTGTGTTCAGTTTCATGGACATTTTAAAGGTTTGTTATAAATTGAGCCTCATTTTCATGACTGGTCTGAAACACAGACAGTTTTTTAAAGAATACAACAGTTTAGGCAGATTATCTAAACCACTTTATTTGGGAGGTAAAACCCAAGCACACTTGAAATGTCTGTAACAAAGGAAAACTGTGCATTCACAACTCTGTCAAGTATGGCATGTGAAAGTTGAATTAGTGTTAGGAACTCATTTACAATAGCTTAATTGGGAAATAATTTGACAATAGCCATGATTCCATCTAATTGTCATGCAGATATTAAGCGGATTTTTGTAATGTTGCAAAAAAGAAATAAAAAATAAAACAGTAAGTGCATTTCTATCAGCTTGTTTGGAGCGAATAAACCAGGCAAGAGTAGTTATGTCAGTAGTTGACGTTACACATGGCTGTAATAAACAAGACTTGTGTGTTCCAAACCAGAAACAAAACCTGTCGCATGTACTAGGGGTGGGGTGGGGTGGGGAAATCGATACAGCATGGTATTGCAATATTTTCTGTGGCAATATTGTATCGATACATGGAGGTCAAGTATCAATCTTAATCTAATGAGAATTTTACTTTTTGGTACTATAATAATAAATAAATAGCTTTTTCAGCCCACGAGAAAAAGAGTTTTCTTAACATAAGTATCGTGATAATATCGTATCGTGGGGACTCTGGTGATTCCCAACCCTAGCATGGACCTGAGGGCCACTGATCTTAAAAAAATGTTGAGAGGTCCTCAGGAATGTGTTTCAAGCGGGCAAGTTGCTACCAGCCATGTCTCCGCACGTTATGGGAATATCCAGCAAGACGCCAACAGCAGAAACAGCTGATCAGACGTGAGTTACAAGTTCGCTATGTCAGAACCTATTTGGCAAGAGTGTTTCCATCTTCCATTTAGTGCATTAACTGTTTTTCGACGAAGGCAAAAACCACCTCAAGCGAGTGTAAAAACCTTTTTTCGAAATCAAGGATTTCAAGATCATGAAGATTATGTAATAAACTATCAGTTATTATCCATGTACCACATCCATGTTACATTGACACAGGTGTTTTCAGTTACTGTATTTTGCCTAATTAGGTCTGCACAGAGTCATCACTTACTTACCTCCCTCCACCCTCCTGTCGAGGAAACCTTTCATTTCTATCATTGGTTTTGCTCACTTTTTATCCCACCTGGGCTTAACCAAGGATGTGCAATCGCGTTTCATAACATAGATACTTGCAGAAAATTATGCATACATTTAAACATAATTGACAAAGCTGATGTTGACTATACAGTGGTGTGTGACTGAAACAGTAGCTCTCATTTTAGACAAACATTATTATTAGAACAAACTGCAGATTTCAGATGGTTTAAGTAACTGAATAACTGCTTATATTTCTGTTTGTATAGAAACCTACTTTCCTCTTAGAAACAAGGTACCAATGAAGTTATATGCAGTAATGAACTCAATATTTACTGAAAAACAAAGGATCTACACTACTGCATGAGAATGTCTCCAGGTCTGATTGATGACAAACTAAATGAGCAGTTTTCTGATCGCACATTGATAAATTGGAGTCAGCTGTGGACACCGTCCTGAACCCGTCCTTTATTACCATATTATTAACATAACATACCCTAATTTATGCGGGTTTGGTAACTCTTGGTTTCTTAAAAGGAAGGCTTGGCGCAGTGAAATCTGCATTGCAAAACAGAGAGGTGCAAAAACCTGCCACATTCAGTGAGCTTCGTCACGGAAATGTCCTGCATGACGCCCAACGTGTTCAATCATTCAGATATGAGAAAACAACAGTTTGATGAATGGGTGTTGGTACCAAGCTGTGGAAAGGAGTTTTCTATACTGCCCTGGTTACTCTGCAAGCTGAACACAATATCTTACTACCAGCTCCATAAGAAAGCTCCAGATCTGTGAGATGAAATAGAAATGTAGATCCGGCTGTCTCACCTTCAAAGGTGTGCTGATCCACAACTAGTAGACTGTGAACCTCCACCTCTTCACCGAAGGACGTCTCGTGGGGAGAAGTGCTGCTGGGGAAGAGCTTGCTGGAGCTCACGCTGCTGGACAGAGCCTGGAAGGATGCAGAATCATGAGACAGAAGAGGAAGAGAGGTCGAGACAAAGAGAAAGAGTATTTCAAATCTCTATTTCTGTGTGAGCTCAACAGCACAGTCAGCCCCATCTGTAGCACCAGATGTGCAGCAATTAAAAGTCAGGTAAACATCTTTCTGGTCATAATGTGGGAGAGGCTCTGCCTCGGTTCCAAAAAGATGTGCTCTGCAGCAATAAATACAAACACAAATAAAGCACACACCTTGGGGAAGCTATAGAGCCGAGCTGAGGGGACACAACACATGCTGTCACTGTAAATCTGGCTGAAAGGACGTTCTGATTAGCTCTCCAAGTACAAATCCCTTTTGTATCCTTTCTTGGCAGCCGAAACATTGTCATTATTCATTGACAACAAATCAAACAAAAGATGATTATGTTAAATGTAATTTGAACTTGATTTGAGCTCTCGCAGCAGCTAAATTTAGCTGAAGTTGCACTCTTACTAACTACATGTCTACACTAGCTCTGAAACTGAGGAAACAAGAAACTATATTGCAGAATTTTGATTATAATTAATTATATCCAGGGTGGATTTGTGTAAAAAACAGGGGAAGATTTTTTTCTCCCTCCTTGAAAATGAACCCCAACAAAACTACATATCAACGCAAACTGTGAGTTTTGTGATCAGTTGCATCACTAGCGAAGAAGCATTAATCACTCTGAGGGGGAGGGGGATAAAAATTATTCAGCAGAGGCATGGATAAATAAACCAAAAGGGTGAAATCCTACGAATCCCCCCCGGGAAATCGCACCCTGATTTTATCATATTTTGTGGAGGTCAATTATCAAGTAAAAATAGAAAAACACATCTGGTAACTTCAGTTATGCTAAGATTACAATTCTCAGACTATATAAGTAAATGATCAAACTGAACATAACAGCATCAAAATTTAAATCCTGGTTTTGGAAATCTAGTTCCAGTACATCTGCTGAGGGCCTAACAGGACAAGACATTTGTTGTAGTCACAAGCTCCCAGTTAATGTTATAAATAATGTTCTTAGTCAGCACGCCTGTTAGATAAGGTGCAAAACAAACAAGCCCCTGGGTATCCATTATCCAAACACAACATGGAGCTACATTACCTGAGTGCTCGCGCTGGGGCGTACGGCAGATGTGGTGCCACTCACATCCTGAATCTCCACCCTGCTGGACAAAACCCCAAAACACTGGGAAACCTCCTGGTAACAGATCCGCCTGGTAGGGTGTTAACAGAGAGAGAGAGAGAGACAAGGGAAGTGAGAAAAAGCAAAGAGAAGACGTTGGTAAACATGAAAAGAGCAAACAGGGGTAAGCTGAACAAAACAAGGTGCCCTGGGAGACTGCTTTCTATTTTCTGACTGGATAACACAGCAGTCAACCTTTTAATAACTTATTTAACAAAGCTGAGTCTTACTTGTCACTTTTGGGGACAAAAAGAGGGAACAAAAGCATATTCAGCTGATGAATAAACAAAATCAACAGGAGAAAGTCACTTGAATCAGAGCAAACAGGCAAAGTCACTGCAAACATGAAGAACATACAGCATGTTTGTACAGATGACAGGTCTGAAATGTTCATTTGAAGGTCAATTCTAATTCAATTTTTTGCAAGGGGACTGACCTGGGAGACTCATAGAGGGGAACAGTGCGAATGTGGAGTTTCTGTATCTCGTCGATGGTACCGATGGTCAGAGTGCTGTTGTTTGCCAGAGCCAGACTGTAAGAATACAAGATGCAGCATTAGGGAGGGGGAAAATAAGAAATACACCCACTTCCTCCAAAACAAAACAAAGTTTGATTGATCTGTGAGAGAACACATCTGAGCAAACGGTGTCAGATCCAAGGATCAAAACAAAAGAAAGTGAAGTTTACATGTTTATGAACTCTTCAAAGCACAAAGGAAGAAAACAACAGCAGCTTCAAATGAAGCGGCACACTGATAAAATGCACGAGTGGTAAATGTTCTACTGCCAACCTGTCGGGGTAGCCCTCAGAGTTCAGTGGGCACATGTAATTGACCTCCTTGAGGTTGACGTTGGAGAAGACCAGCTTGTGGTTGGAGGAATAAATGACGGTGGGTCGGTCGGAGCAGGCGAAGACGTTGGAAGTGGACAGGGATCTGAAGGTCCTCAGCACAGTGGGCTGGGTGCCAAGTGTGACTTTCTTACGCTCGCTCAGGGCACCTGGGGGAAGGAAACAAGAGTGAAACACAAACAAGTTTAACAGTTTGAAGAGTGGGTACCAATCATTGTTTGGGTCAAAAGAACCACTTCTTAAACGCCTTTACATTTAAATGCACACGATATCCTGGTTGTGAGCCCTGTTTTTGAGTCAATTCAGAACAAGATGTTTACAGGAAACATGGCATAACCGGATTATATTCAGATCCCTGTGTACATCATTATAACATCCAGGTTTCTGATCATTGTGCAGGAGTTTCTTTGACTGCCTAGACTCTAGAGGTGATACAATTTTGAAAATCAATTTATTGTATTGCTTTTATTTTAAGCACAAATGGAAAACGTTCTAGGATCCAGCTTCCCAAAAATGAGAATATGCTGCTTTTCCTTTTGTTATTGATAGTGACTTAATTATTTTGGAGTTTGTGGCAGTTGGTCAGACAAAACATGAATTCCGAATACATCCGCCTGCAAATTAGAGAATTGTGATGAGCATTTTCTGGCAATTTTCTGACATTTTAAAGACCAGAAAGTTACTCAAGAAAAAATGAATTTTTATCTTTTATTATGTAAAGGTGAGACCATAGTTCAGGGCAAAAATGGTGCTTCTTTAGTCTTAATTTAAAATGTTAATGGTGTTAGCTGTCCTGTTGAGTAATGAGAGGGAATTCCATGGATAATGAACCCAGTATGAGATAATCCTACTAGAGTCTAATTTCCTTTTTATTCTTCAAAACACACAAGTAATAGAAAAATAAGAATTCAGAAATGCAGAGATTGCTGGAACAGACAGTCAATAAAGCAGTAACTAAAGGGCTAAAGCTTTTACATGTCTAAGTAAATTTGCTCTCCACAGGGAGTACTATACAGCCTGTGGCTCTTAACCTACTTATTTATTGCTTGAAATTACATCACCAGGGTATCTTGACCAGATGGCGTCAGTTCAGTGATATCACCGAGTCTTGGGCTTGCAGACTATACATTATTAAACCCTCATCACAAATAAGATTAAAACACTTGTCAGCATTCAGCAGCCAGCGAGCATCTAACAAAAGGCTATATTATATTACAGAAAGCTATATTACAGAAAGCATCGGATCAAGGGTTTTTGGAGCTTGATCCATACTTTTTTTTTTTTACAGTATTAAATGTATGGATACATCAGCCTCTGCAGCTTCCATTTTTACCAACAATACTAAAAACACTACATTTCGGCAAGCAATTCTAAACCGCTGTACTCCAATGAATATATTCAATCTGCTGAGAATTTTATATACAGCAACCTGAAGGAAGTGGAGGTTATTGGTTCACTCTCACACCACTCGTAGAATGGTTTTCACCTGTAGCAGGCAGTTGCTTTCAGAGAAAAAACCCTCAAAACCCTCTGTGCACTACCTGCTCAGCACCAAACTGCAGACAAACACAGTTAGAGACTAGCTGGTGAACAAAGTAGAGAATTTAACAGCTGAAGAGCCACATATTTCCCTCAGGAGCTGGTAGTGACCAACAACTGAGCTAAAAAAGAAAGTGACTATTGGACTTTGGTTTGCCAGGCAGCCAGAAATACAACTCCAAATGAATGATAATGTTGCTTTATAACTGTAACTTGTCTGTTGTGAAGCTGCATCTTCAAATCCTGTTTCTCAGATGTTTAAATTGTTACAGAATCCTCTGTTAGTTGAAACTTAATCACTTCTATGTGGTGGCACACTGCATGTTTAGATCCACCAAAAAGAAAAACATAAACAAACGCACCAGCACTACCTAAGTTAATTGGCAAATTAAAAACACATACAAAAGCGCAATAAACATTAACATTAGATTCTTCAGGCTGCAAAGTTTCTCCACCATTACATTCAAATATAGTGCTGGCAGTTATGCAACTCCCCATGAAATAATATTCTGAAAATGCTCTCAGACAGCTGCCTGTGGCCTTGCCCCCTTCCCCTCCTGCTTCAAGAAGCTCTCAACTAAATACTGCTGTGATGGCGGTGTGAGGGACCTACCAGTCTGCAGGTCCAAACCAAAGTAGAAGAGTGCTCCATCTCCCAGCGCACACAGCAGGTAGTAGCTGCCTTCAAAGGTGGTCATCAGGATTGAGCGAGGGATGATCTCTGAGGAGACACACACAGTACAATTATTTATTTTTTACTGTACTGGAGCCACAGATTCATGTATAAACACCAAAGTGATAAATGTCGGCAAAAAATGTCTCTATCAGAAAAATCAATAAGGGTCATCAGCCAGACTGCCTGGTAACTTTTGGAAAAAAAACATTTGAATGCTGCAGGATAAATATAAAGTCTTCTGTCTTTTCCGTTTCCCAAACCACAGTTTCTCTGACTCCTGGCCAATTAAATCAAAACAACATTGGCACTAATTAAGTGCTTGCTGGCTGACTCTCCATAAAGCAGCAGCATTAAAAAAGTCTGCAAAATGTGGCTACTTGAAAGGTTGCATGTTCCATGGAATATACATTAATTATTTTAAGTTGTTTAATGTTAAAACATGAACATGGGACTCTGGTCTATTGAAAAATACATACAGAAGATCATTTAATTAAATATGTCAACAAAACTAACACAGCTTAAGTGCAACTGGGCAATGTTGCAGTGTCAAAAGTATCTGCTTCCAATGACGGAGCTCAACATATAAACAATTAAAACAGCATATTAGCCTTTAATTTGAAGGAGTTAGAGGAGTGTGCAAGAAGGTAAAGTTTGCAGAGTTTTAGCAGGTGTCAATCAAATGCACTTGGAAAATAATGTGTGACACTGTGGGGAAGAGTGTGGGAATATTCTTCATGGATGAAGCCTTCTAATTGGAAAGTAAGAGTCCTGCCTGAGCTGGGTCACCATGTTATAAAACTTCGTCTCCAGTGACTGCTGACTTTTTCATAAGTAACCAAACCAAAAACTCTTCCTTGTATATTTTAACATTCTAAGTTTAAAAACTTTTCAAGTATCTAAATGGTTTACTAAATGTATTTGGGTTGGCAAGCATACTTAATGTCCAAGTACTCATTAAGAACATACAAAAAAAACACAGTAATTAATGGGAGATGTCATTTACATCTGTTAATAAAACTGGAGATGCTATCCATTTTAGCTACTAATATGCTATTATAGACACACTCCTTCGACACACTCCTTCGACTTTATTATTGGATTCAAAAGGTAAAAAATCCTAACATGTCCTCAAGCAGGCTGCAAAATCCACCTATCAACACCTCTAAAGCTCATTAATTAACATGTTGCATGTTAAACAACAACCTTGTTTCAACAATAATTCACTATTTTACAGGGGTTATGTGCAGGACTATTATACTATACAGGGCCACACAGACAAACAACCACTCACACCTAAGGACAATTTAGGTTAACCAAGCCTGCATGTCTTTGAATGGTGGGAGGAAGCAGGAGCACCCGGAGAGAACCCACGCAGACACGGGGAGAACATGCAAGCTCCACACAGAAAGGCCGGGGCAACCGGGGTTTGAACCCACGACCTTCTTGCTGTGAGGCGACAGTGCTAACTACCGCACCACCGTGTTAGTTTACTTGGTAACTTTTGCTCAATTACTGGATGCCTATGGGACCGTGATTATATTATTTGATCCCATAGACACTCAACATCTGAGCCAAAATAGCATAATATAATTTCTGACTACACCATATAGTTTTAAAAAAGATCTGTCCTAAGGCATTTATTAGTTTCTGACTCTGATGAGGGGGCAGTTCCCAAAAACTACTGTATCTCTGACCTCTCACACATGTAGGCTATTCTATGTGATCTCCTTTTGATCGCCTCACACCTCACCTCTGGTTTAAGAGATAGTTCTTAGGAATTAATTAACAAAATTTGTGTAGGGGATATTGAAAAAAATGCAGAGGCAAAAACATACCAAAAAGATTTGTTTTTTTAATGGCCTTTTTTGTACCATTTTGAAATTTTACTGTTATTTTTGCACTACTATTATCAGATAAGCACCTTGTCACAGTGACACTGATATTAAAATTATTTACATAGATGGAGTTGTGACAATGCAGACAGCATTGCTTTCAAACAACATATAGTTTGTCAAGACTGAACAAGGAGTTAACTGCACACTCAAATAAGGTAACAAACCTCTCTCCTGGCCTGTGGCTTATGTAAGCTTTGAATGACAAAAACATTTATCCTTCCTAGATTGTTTTCTTCTTCCATTTTCCCACTTTATGTGTGAAGATTTTGGAGGAGTTTATTCTTGCTTTCTGACAGAGCCTAGGTTCGGTTAGGAATCACTTTTGTGGAATGGAGAAGTCCATAGAGACACTGCATGTGCTACTGGGTTATAGAAATAAAGTTGACATTACATTATCTTGACACTATCTCTTCCACAAGCCAGTAACAGCCTTTCTTTCTTTTCTCTCACCTCCGCCCAGCATTTCCTTGTGCAGGGTTGTGAAGCAAGGTAGTTTGAGCACACGGGCTGAGATGTCGGTCCAGAGTCCCACAGCGCAGAGGGGAGACTCACCGCCACCCTCCCCCAGAGGTGTGATGTCCAGGCAGGCCACCTCATGCTCCATCTCAGTGGTACTAAGGAAGATACAGAGGACGTGAGAAAAAAGTAGCACTCTACCTTGCAAATTGTGTGAATGTGGACTGTATACTTCAAAGGCATAGTAGGTCCTGGCATAAATGTGTTAGTGACACAGAGTTCTGAATGATTTCTTTTCTCATGTGAAATACAAATTGAAAAATGTTGCAGAGGCCTTTGGTGAGCTAAGATGTAAGTTTCCACTGGCTTAAGTTGTAAGACGACCATTCATTTCCTATAAAACTGCAGTGGGAGCTCAACCAATCTGTAGACAGGCAATACGATTTTTGTCTCTAAAATAAGATGGCCACAGCTGGACTTTTTGGTTATTATCTATTAACAACCAATCAGATTTTTTCTCTTCCTTGTTTAAGCTCTGTTGTGAATTTATTTCCTTAACATATAAATTCACAGCTCTACTTGACAAATGCTACAATGATTAGCAGTTGATCAGTCAATTCCCCAATACCAGTATTCTAGCGCTGCAGGAATTTTAAGTCTTAGGAATAACTTGTTTGCATCAATCAATAGGTCAGTGGTATTCTGTGAAATTTTGATCATAGCAATCGTATTTTGAACATTCTGGCCATTTGTCTGCAGCACAAAAATCAGCAAAAGCATTTTTCCAAATGTGTTAACATATGAATCAAACACATATGCCTGTTTGGGATAGATCAATATGAATTCTGTTGACAATGTCACAAAAGATATTGATTGATTATTTCTATGCACAATTTCCAACTCCAAACCATAAAAACTTGAATGCTCTTTGGAGCTAATAATTATCAGGTGATATGTATTTGTGTAATGAGGGAGGGTGTGGGGAAAGTGAATCACACCTTATATCAAGGTGTGCATGATTATTTGGCAGCTTCATTACTTCAAGTAAAATGGACCCCCCCCCAAAAAAAGAGGTTTAACTGACACCGAAAAGTCAAAAATGGTAAAATGCCTTTTAGACAGATGCAACAAACCTTTGAGGCATGACCACACAATCATTTCACAATCAACATTTTGTTGTGAATAGTCAACTGGGGTGCAAAAAAGCGCATGGAGCCTTTATGAAAGGCTCATGGCAGTTAAAGAAAAGAAGGCTGGCTATATTGGCCACTAAATATTTTTGGAAGGCCAAATTTTATTCAATTGTCATTTTGTGTTGTTACAGTTACTCTAAAAATTAAGAATAAAAGAGTAATTTGATAGAAATTATTTCTATAATTTAGTTTGCCAAGCAAAAGAACCTCTTAAATGATGGAATACTCTCTAAAAGCTTTGAATACTAAAATCATCATTAGCTGCAGCCCTATCTAGTAGTATAAGGCCATCATGGACAATGTTGCAAATGATGAACTAGGAATAATTTATTTACAATATTACAATGATTATGTATCTTGATTTGTCAGGTATTTAATTGAAAGCAGACATTCGTGTCTGTTTATTGTATTCACAAACAGGTTGTGGATTGAATTTCTACAAAATCATGACATATCCGTATCGCAATATAAAATTACATATACTGTAATAAGCGATTTCATCCATATTGACCATATCTTGAATTTGATAAAGATTTTATAATTAAAATGAAGTTGAAAAAGGAAAAGAAAGGAAAAAGACAATCTTACTTGTTAATTTAAATAAAAGCCAGAACTCCTGCATTGTAATAGAACAAAGCCACTCAGATAATCAATGTATGGCGTGCTTAAACTTTAATTGCATAACAGAAGAGTATTTCAGCCATGTAAACATCTTTAATCCAACCATAATTATCCAATATTTACAGAATTATTTGACTCACACAGCAAACTGGCATCTTATTGATACAGGCCAAACATTATTTCACAGCTCTGCTGAGACACTCTGTCCGCTTCGTTGTTTTATTATCTACATATACTTTTAGGGCTGCAAACAAACACTCTGTTCTTCAAGTGGCCCTGGTGGCCATTTTTATAAGCTGTGTGTCTTTCTCAAAAAAAAAAACCTCAAACATTTTTGTGTATCCTCAACTTTTTTTTAAACTACTGCAGTAAGTAGTGCAATAATAACACATAACTGTGAGTCAGAGACAACGTTGTTGAACTATTGGGAATACATTAAATTAATGTTTGATTAATTAAACTTTATTACAACTGTTCTTTTTGATTGGTCCCTGCTGTTTTATCATAAACTATTAAATTAAGCTGAAATGCCAATAGTTAGACTAATGATTTAACAAATGTAAAATATCTTGATTGTTTTTGTTTCCTTACTAGGCATGAAGACATGAGCCAGTCTGCAATTACTGCAATAGCTATGTAGCTTTCATGCTAAAGGAAATCTTTATACAGATCACAGCCAGGGGAAAACTGAAGGGATGAGATCAGACATTTTTTTACTCTTAAGCTTCTCTGACCTTGCAAGCTGCCCCAGTTTGTAGTCTCGCCATCAAACCCAGACAAACATGGGGGACGTTAAAGCAATTTTTTGGCATTTTAGGAAATAGGCTTGGGAAATCACTTTCTTCCTGAGAGCTAGAAACAAAGGTTAACTCCACTCATGTCTGTATAGTAAATATGTAGCTACCACCTAACAGCTTAGCATAAAGACAGGAAAACAGGGGGAAACAGATAGCATGGCTCTGTCCAGAGGTAACAAAATCTGCCTACAGCACACCTGAAGATCACTAATTAACAAATTACATCTTGTTTGTTAAATCTAGACAGATATAGGCTAGCAGTTTCTTCCGGTTTCCAGTCTTAATGCTAATCTAAGCAAACCGCCTGCTGGTGGCAGCTTCATATTTACCACACGAACGAACGTGAGTGGTCTCAATCTTCTTACCCAACTCTCACCAAGAAAGTACAAGTATATTTGAGGTAAACTGCAGGTAAATCCCCAAGTAATTTGTGCTGGTCAAATATTGCCTAAAACAATTTGTAAGATAACAATAGATCTATACCTGTGTGTATGTCTGTCTCTATGTCCTACCTGATCTGTTTCAGCTCTCCAGCCAGGATCTGCAGGTAGTAGAGGGCACGTCCCACGGCAAGCACCACCTGAGTGTGGTTGCAGGCAGCCACACTGATGTTCCTGCCCTGTGGCTCCTTCCATTCACTCACTAAGGCTTTGCTCTCTTGGAGCACCAGGCGCACAGAGCCCGATGTGATCTGGAGGCAGAGTTTGTCCTTTTTAAAATACTATTTTGCACAGGGGAAGTGATAGAAAGGATGATGCGGATACTGGGAGCTCAAATATAAAGCCATTTTAAGGCAAATATTTGTTTATATGCGGTGCTGTGCCAGGGTTGTTGTTGCACTTTTTTGAATGACTGAAAAGAAATTATGATTAATTACAAAGCAAAAATTTGTATTTTTGTAAATAAAAATGTGATGAGACTATGTTTTTGATGGTGGAAAGAAGATGAATTACTTTCGATTTAATCCACTCCAGTTATTTCACATTTAGTGCAGGTACCAGATCGTTTGGCAGCTTCATTACTTCAAGTAAAATGGTCCCCCCCCAAAAAAAACTGACACCGAAAAGTCAAAAATGGTAAAATGCCTTTTAGACAGATGCAACAAACTTTTGAGGCATGACCACACAATCATTTCACAATCAACATTTTGTTGTGAATAGTCAACTGGAGTGCAAAAAAGCGCATGGAGCCTTTATGAAAGGCTCATGGCAGTTAAAGAAAAGAAGGCTGGCTATATTGGCCACTAAATATTTTTGGAAGGCCAAATTTTATTCAATTGTCATTTTGTGCTGTTACAGTTACTCTAAAAATTAAGAATAAAAGAGTAATTTGATAGAAATTATTTCTATAATTTAGTTTGCCAAGCAAAAGAACCTCTTAAATTATGGAATAAAAGTTGAGTCCTTGATTGAAAAAATTAAGGATAAATGCCCAGCATTAATTTGATCCCAGAAATCCCTTCCATAAAACATCAAAACAAGGTACTTATGTTTTAAATACCAATTAATACTGTTATAACAGTGAATTTGCATTCCATGTACCAAAGGGGCTTGTACATACCTGGTGAAAGCCCTCAGGATATGGAGAAATACAAATTTAATATTGAAAATTTATTCATGTGATGGGGAGAGCCATACAGCATTGAAGAGGGAAGACAAAGATCAGAAATAGCTAACGACGCCTCATTAAATGACTGCAGCAGGTGCAGAAGGTACAAACAACAGTCAACAGTGCATATATTCAATATAGGATCCTTAATTGAGTCCTTAGAAGTAACTGAAAATTATATTGTCGAGTTTATGCAGTCAGTTTCTTTTGCAGGGTAGTGCAAATCACAGCACAAAGGTGGTGTCCAGAGGCTGCACTCAGCGGTGCTTTGAGCTGAATGCAAACATCAGTGTGCTGACATGCTTTCAATGAAAAAGCTCACACCCTGTTACAATGTATACCACGTAGTGTTATAGTTTTTAATGTTACTACATAGTTAGTTTATCATGTTAGAAGGTTCACATTTGCTAATTAGCACCAAACACAAAGTACAGCTGAGGTTAATGGGAAAGTCTTCATATTATTTTTATTATTATATATTTTTTGCAGGTATTTGGCGAGACAAACAATAGGACATTTTGAAATTTTGACCTGATGCTGGTGCTAGAAAACGAGTGCAAGGATCACCAAAGTAATAACAGTTTACTCTGTGGCGATACTGAATGTCTGAACCACATTCCACGGCAATGCATGTAACAGTTGTCAAGACATTTCAATAATAAAAATAAACTACAACCCTCATGGTGACTCTAGAGGAAAAGCCAGGGGATTTAAGTTGTTAGGATTCAACCTCTGTGGACCAGGGATGTCTGTATAAAATTTTATGGCAATCCCTCCAAGAGTTGTGGACGTTTCTGGATCAAAGCAGTGAACCAACCAACCAACAAGGTGCTTTAAGTAATTTGTGACCAAATGGCTAAATTGTGGTAAGATAATCTCGGCGCATTGGCAACATAAGCATTGCTTAAGAGTTGTGTTTATGGCCAACTGTTAAGTCCATAACTCCCCTTGAGAATAATATGTGGGTCTTTTCAAGATGTTCAGCTGTGTTTACCAGGCGCTTTTTTAGATTACTGCAATGTCGTGCTGGGCAGGTAGTGCACAGTCGGCTTGTCTGAGTTTCTTCGCTGGAAACTGCTGCCTACAGTTTTGTTTTTATTGCAGTTAATTAGAACAGCAAAGCTCAAGCACACAGTCTATGTTGCGGGACGGAGGACCAAAATAATGAGGTAAAACAAGGCTCAAAGCTGCAAAGAGCTGCAGAGTCAGGCATTCATTCTTATTGGGTTTAGCACTTTAAGCAACACTTTCATGTTACATAGATTCAGTATCAAAAATATTGCTGCATTTACAATTTGCATGTGTTTTTTTTACATTTAAAATGATAAAAAACCATAACAATGGGACAATGTTGCTGAAACTTTGCGCAGTCTCTGTTTTGCTTTCACTCCATTATTTCTAGTGCCCTGAGTTTAAGTTTAAGCAAAACTATCTGCTTTTCTTATCTGAAGTGACTTTGTCTCAGGCCAGAAAGCAAGAGTTATTTAACAACAGGGTTAGGGTTAAATTAGCAAAAATGTAAAAATGTATTTAGTGAATGTTGTTTCATGTTTATTGTCTTGCTTTGTTTTTTCTGTGCAAATAAATTATTAAAATTATAATTTTTCAATGCATTCGGTGTACATATACCAACTATGAGAGGAAGCAATATCTTTCAGCCTTTAAAACAAAAGCAGTGTTGTCATAACAACCTAAAGATTTATGGTTGAAGGTCTAACAGTTGGCAATTCCCAGCAGGTTTCATCCTCGTTTTCAAATGGCAGGCTAAAACTTGAATTTAAATGAAGTGCAATATTCATCTCAACCAAGTGTAAAATACATGAAATCCTTATGCACTCTTCATTTTCACAAATGCTCCTTTCAATCATGTGTGATTCAGCTCCAGCAAAGTGTATCTTATTAAATGGAGAAAGGCCATAGTTGAATAATTAATTTCGTATAATTAATTTTGAATTTGTAGTTAGATGCTATGCCTTCTTTGAACTGGGATGTACAAAAACTGCAAGTCAGCTAATTCTAGGAGTGCACACTCAGACATCAAAACAAGTGTCAATATCAAAAGAAGAAGCATGTTCTGGCGAAGCACACTTACAGCACATGTTCTTTATACATATAACAGTGTGTGCAAGTGTGTTTATACGAACTTGAATGAGTTGTTGGTGTGCCACGTTGCCACAGTAAAATGTCTGCTGGTTGTCCACAAAGCCTGGAAGTTCAGTCTCCTCAACTTCCTCACCACTCAGCATCAAAACTCTGGGAGAAAACACACTCTTAAGATAAAGATAAGGGCATTTACAATTGATTCGACACTTATCTGGCATGCTGCACGGCAAGCACTCACCGTGTTTGACCCACAAAAGACAGAACCAGCATGTCATCTGTCTCTCTGCCTGCCTCAGAGCGGAGCGGCCACAAACCTTGAAGGGAATTCAAAAGAGGGTGTTAGAAGGAAAGGTTACGGTCTGCACCATTCTGCAGAGCAGGAGAAATACAGTATCTAGCCAGTATCCAAGCCGATCTTTAACAATCACATCTGTCAAATTTTGGGAGATGTACAGGCTGCAGATCCCTCTCAGAGAGCCATTGATTGGCTAAGTGAATCATTGTCTCCCATCAAGAGGCCAGGGGCAAGAGCCAGCAGGGCAGAGATAGTCAATAAACAGCTGAAGCCTAACAAGTGCAAGCAGACCTCACCTGGCCTGTGTGTCTCGTTTAAGCATCAGAGAACAGTCTTGGGAGAGGAACTTAATGTTCTGGGATTAAGAGGTGTCAGCCACTATTAAACTTGATGGGATTCTTCATCTTGACAGTTTACTGTTGCAGACATCGCAGTGCTTGTTGGCTTACTAAATGAAAACAAATGGTTCCAAACCTAAGCTTGGAAATGTTCCTGTTTTTTTGAAAGTACAGAGCCAAGACCTATGACATCTGTGCCATCTGCTGACACTCACATCCTGAGCTTAGACGAGCAACAGCTGGCGTCTTGGCAAGACTGAGTAAACAGATGTGCTGGTTGAAGTGGCTCTGCTGTCAAGTCAGTATGAGATAGATACAGACAAAGAACACACAAACCTTTGATTCCTGGGAGGTCAATGCTGGCATGCTCATGAATCCCAATGCCATTGCGAATAATCCGGAGAGAGCCTTCCTTGAATGCACCTGAGCATGTTACCAGCTGAAAGCAGCAAAAATGACAAAGACAGGGACTGAGATATGAGGTGTGATTTTTATTTCCTTTGTTATAGGGTCGTTATGAAGTTAATCCTGTTATTTTTACTATTTTCACTTAAATATCTTTGTAATCTTGTGATACCCTTTCATTTCTACTTCCTGACTATCATGTTTGCTTAACAGGTGACTGTAGTCTTATACAACCTTGGTCTTATTTTGTATTTTTAAACATCATTAAAAATAATAACATGGTACACTGTACTCACTAATTACTAATTAGCGAGTATTGATTGCTTAGATTTGAACAGTCATACAGTACCTGACGATTAAAATACACTCCCAGGTTAGCCAAACTGCAACTTAATTTTCATTATCAATTCATGTGGCGATTTGTTTCTCCATTACTGATCTATTAAAAAAAAAAAAGACTGAGGTGACTTCTTAGAAAGTCTTGTTAAGTCTGACAGTCTAAAATCCACAGATATCCAGTTAACTATCCTATATGACATAGAAATACATTTCAGACACCAGAAAAAGGGGAATGTTTGGAATTTTGTCTTAAAAAAGGACATCGATTAATCGATTATCAAAATAGTTGCCTTTGATTTTCTGTCTGTGAAGATTCTCTGTCACCCAGGTCATGGTTATCCAACGAAGGTTAAAGTCAAGGGCAATTGGACTTGGTTGACTTTGATTTTCTATTGAGGGCATAATAGTTTCAGCTCTGAGGATAAATCATTGTACTGGCACCTAATGCTCACAGTTCTCACTGTTCCCAGTTCTTGTAATTGTAAATGTCATCCAAAGTACAAGTTATGGTAGAATTAGTGACAAAAGTCAATAGCAAAGCAGTACCACCAACAGTGAAGTAGGGAAGGATTTGTAAATCACTTTATAGCTGAGCTTCTCTGAGATTGCAGGTTCAAACATGGCAACATCCTGGAGGTAAATAATTCTGGTGCGTGTACAGTCTGATGGGAGAGAATCATAATGTTATTTAGTCATGGTACACTAACAGGATTAACACCAGAGCCCATTTAATCTCAGGCCCTACCACCTGTCACCAAACGGCTTCATCCTAATAGAAATAACTATTGTGAACCTGGAAACCCACCTAACTCCCCAGAGCATGTTCTTAAATGCCCTCACACACTCAGTCACACTTTCATGGTACTGACTGAATCCTGATAATCTGCACTTATGTCAGTTGTGTATTTATTATTTCTAGCATTTATAAACTCCAATGTTGTTTGTACATCTGTCAATACAATAATTTTTCAGCTTTTTCTGAGAGAAGTCCGGTTATATTTTGTCCCGCAGCTTGTGCATCAATCCTCTACTGTCTTAACTGTCTTGGAATGTGTACGCACCAATTAACCAGGTCAAATGCTCTGTGGATTTACAGCAAATGGCAAATTAAACAATTGTGATTGGATTTACTTCTGGGCCTCAACAGACTAAAATGAGCTCCAGTGTGTGAATGAATACAGTCAGTGGCTGATTGTGTGCTGGTCTGTACCCAGAGAGTGGCTCACTGCTCTAGTGGACCGCTGCCTTTGGAACCATATCAAGTATCCTGAGGCCTGGTGTCAAATCTTGCCAAAAAAACCCTTCTGTACTGGATTTCTCTCATTACTTCATTGTTTCATCTCCCTCTGCTTTACTAATGAAGGAAGACAAATGTTCAACTAAAAAAAATGTTTTTGCCAAACTATTATATTTTATGCAGTAATATGTCTTAGACAGATTCATTTAGCGTCTGATTTCATTTAACATAAAGAAATATATATTTTTAAAAAATACAGGAAGTAGAAACATGAAATTGTTGCCTTTAAAACTTGACAAACATGCGATATGGGTAATATTACGTAATTTACATTATATTCTGAACACAAATGGTTTGACCGTTAAACTAACTTTTGGAACTTTAGATGATGGATTGTTAGGATACATCCAGACAGGGAACGACGAGACGAGGTCTTTGCTGTCACTTTTAAATGGTGTAAATATTATTAGAGAAAATTATATGTTCAGCAATCTGCATTTTGCAGTGTAACAAGAAAGCCAATTTAAGTTTGTGTACCAGAGATGCATTTTAACATCAATGTAACTTCAGTCCAGTTAAATCATATCTAGACACAACTAGGATACCAGGCGCATGTTAATTCCAGGCATAGGGACCACAGGCAACAACAAAAAAAATAGACAAGACAAAAGAAGAACATCCAGACTGCCTGTTAAAGGACGCAGGAAGCCGTGTATTTAATTTCAGCAAGAATCTCCTTAACACATTGTACCTAGCTAGTCTGGCCAGTGGCAGGTTTGTACCGTAGTATGTTGCATGCTTAATTCTGCTGACAAAAACACAGTTAACACGACTCAAGAGCCCAGGCTGCATCAGCCGCATAAGCCCAGACTCCCCGAAGGCTGTGACAAAAAAAGATGATAAAGAGGAAAACGCAGATGGCAACTCGCCATAAGGTATAAAGTGTATCCAGTGACTATTTAGAGGGTTTCGGTAATCAACATGTCATGTCTACATCCTCTGGCGGATGCCCATGGAAAACTTTCATTCGGAATGATCTGCTTACAATACATAACTGTAATGTAAAATGTGTCGTGTCTTCCTGTTTTTGCGAGTTGCAAAAATATAAAAAGGAATCAGCTTTTGGTCATTACCTGGCCCTGGCCTTGCCTCTCCAGGTCTACCACACACATGTCCACAATGGGCCCCAGATTGGTGAACGTCTCCATCACCCCCACATATGAGCCCTGGTCGTTGCTGTCCACATTGAGCTGCAGAGAAACAAACAGAACCCTCTTCACAAATCAATGGGAAAGTATCAGTCTACATTGTGAAGAGTTAACACTTATTTCATGACATAGCAGGTTTATGGAACACTTACAAAGTTTTCAGACAGTATGTTAAAAAAAAAAAAAAGGAAACATGCACACACAAACAAACTAAAGACAAAATAAAAAATGTTTCTTGTTGCTTACCTTCACCAGCTGGGAGTCGCCAAGTCTGGAGCCCACAAAGACCACACCGTTATCCAAGTAGGTCAAACACTCAGCAATGGATGTCTGTCATTGGAGAGAGAGACAAAACACGTCAGTCTCGGAGGGCACATCCACACTAGGGTTTTAACTAACGATTACTTAATTATTAGCAATTTTTGGCAATACTAGCTGCGTGGGATGACAATGTCGATCTGTCAGACGGTCCACCACTTTAAAGCCCAAATATTCAGTATTTTTGCTTGGGAAAAAAAATGCTCCAAATAGCTGGAAATACGTATTTTCTCTCCACTATGACCTTCACATTAAATCAACATTTACACAGTGTTTGGCTAGAACTCTCTGAAGTTAACGTGGCTGAACACACACAAGCATAAAACAGTGATCCCAAAACAACAAGTAGCATTTATGAGCCACAAGTTTATACTTATGCATTGTACTCAATGAATCGACAAAAAAATTAATCAATGACATGTCATAAAATTGTTCACTGAATTCTTTAGTTTTTATTGTTAGCCAAATAAAATGAGCAATTATGAGGCATCACTTTAGGTTCTGGTAATTTCAGATGTCAACTCATTATTATTTCTGACCTTTTACACACTAAATAAACCATTAGTTGAAAAAAATAATTGGCAGAATACTTGAGAAAATAATGAGTATTTAGAGCCCAAATTGTGCCATCATCTGACAGAAATGCCATTGAGAACAACTTTTTTCACCTATATGGAAACACAAATATAGTCATAACAACGACGGCACATTGCATTAATGCACAAGCTGGTTGTTTGCTAAATGGAAGAGAAGGAAGATGAACAAATGTAAGTTTCCTATTGCTTAACAATTGTACTTCTAGGCAGTTCACTTTTTTTAAAGTGATCTAAAAACAGACAGAAATCTGACAAATAAATCTTCCCTCGTTGCTGTGAACATGGTCTTACACTGACTTATTATTGTAACACAAAGAGGTTTTTCTGTCTGAGATTCTTAATGTAGAACTGTGGCTGCCTGTCGATTGAACAGATGAATTGATTTTACCTTTCCAAACTCTTTGGCAAGATATTAGAGAAAGGTGCCACAAGCCAAAAGCTGTGTCTTTAAAATGAGATTTAGCTTTGAGCACAGTATTGACACAGTCATTGTCTAAATCAACTTAAAACACAATAAGTGACACCCTGGCAAGCAAGCAACAAAGCCGTACGATCATTTTTTCTCATCTTCTGACAAGTGTCGACTGATCCATTAGCTCCAGTCATGGCCGTAAACCATTAAATAGTCAATTGTAACAAAGGGGGTACTGAAAGGAAATGGTCGAGCAAGGTAGAGAGAAAGAGACGGGAGACATGCCAGAAGAAAGGCGGTGGATAAACACAGTGAAAACAGACAGAGATAACGAAACATAGCAAATAAGGTAAATGAAGTACCTCTCCGAGCAGCTCCACATGCAGGTCTTTGAGCGCCACCGTGCCGTCCATTAGCTCCTCCTTCTCCAACAGCAGCATAAACAGACGTCCCTCCATGTCCCCCAGCAGGTAGCGCGAGCCATTGGGGTCCACCCGATTGTGGCAGACGATGGTGCTTTGCTACAAATGAGAGTGGAACACAAACAAATCATTAAAATAACACTGACAGCAGAGGTAAAGCCTGAAAGAGCACCTTGAATTTCACCAGTACAAAAAAGTCTGGATGGATAGATGGATGGATGGATGGATGGATGGATAGATAGATAGTTGTACAATTTATATTTGCACATTTCAAGTACAACCACAGAGAACTGTCTTCAAAAAAAGTACATATTAAACAAGCCTGCCTGCCAGGAACCTGTGCAAACTAGAACAGGAATAATACAAAGGTTCATCCAAGAGAAAAAGGATTCCATGCTGTCAATGTTTGAGAAATATTTTTTTTTTTTAAAAGTGCATTACAAATATAATGTGACTCACTGGGGTATTATTATTAAAGAACTGTGAATACAAACAATTAGTGCCTGACCTGGCCGATACCTATTTTGATATTTGAGTTTTAAAAACTCAGATGATACATTAGCATATGTCTATTGTTTTCCATAAGCATATTACAAACAATTATTTTGATATGGATCCTTAAATTACCAGAAAAACAAAATATCAGTCCAATCTGGAGAACAAACTAAGCTGTAACACTGCTTCTAAATGACCTGAAACATCTTTAGTATTGCTGTCCTGCAATATATTGTGACTTATCAATGATCAACTGACATATACGCCGATAACAATACATCTAAGACCAGCTAATATTGGCTGATATCTGCTTTGGCTGATCAATTTGCCTGGGATTTACGAGGTCTGCTTGTAATTAAGATTTTAGACTTTTGTGGTCGGATCAATGCATCTTGACATACTATACAATATTATGAAAAATTTATTCCCCAAATAAAACTGCAGAGCCACTTTAAACAGAATGAAGCTATGGGAAGTTAGAAACCTCTACTGATGCAAACTAGAACAGGAGTAACACATCACATGTCTTCTTTTACTTTGCACTTGAACAAAACTCCCTTTGGATATTGTCGGAGTCACTCTCAGCTTTCAGTCCTAGTTAGACTTGGGCTGATTCACGCAACGTGCAAAAAAAACATCTTAGGAGCTTTGAACTGGAGTTGCAGGAAAGAGTATCCTGTCTCCACTATAATTACAGGGTAAGCTGGCTAGAAAAGTAGTCACGATTGGAACCGCCATTAAAATGACATAGTGTGACTGATCTTTCCTTCATCAGAGGGTATTGCTATTGTCGTTGTCTACTGTACAGGCTGAGTTAATTTCTCACTTGATCAAACCTTTAGAAAACGTGTTTTCACAGTCCTCATATTGCTTAAATCTTCTGTCAAACCATGGATCCTCTTGCATCCATCTTGACTGAAGGTAGGAAGGTAATTAGCTTGTTAGATTCTACCAGTGAAACCAGTCTGATGGCCCGACATAGACTAGTCTACAAAAAATGTTTTATGAGCTGACACATTCAGCAGATCTCCGTGATGGCAGAACCTCTGGTGTCTCACATTATTTTTTCACTTCTATGCTCAAGAGTGACAATTTATTAATTAGCTGCCAAAGGTGTTGTTATTCATCAAAGGTTATGCTTCTGTGTTTTCTTGACACTACTGAAAGGAGCGTGTGTATTAGCTGAACACTAATGTTGCATTCGGTGTGAAAAAAGTCCAGAGTAAAAACTTCAGCTTCATTTAGAATGAGATTTCATTACAGCAACAACAGACACTCAACTACCTCTTCCCTCAAACATCTGCTGAGCGGTGTTGGGCAATACTACTGCGGAACCAGAGTTCTAACAGAATATGACAGCTTGAGATGTTTGAGGCTTTTAAAGATAAAACCAATCAGCAGGACACAGATATGAACGGCAGCCCATGATGAGACATCAGTGAGACAACAGAGAGCTTGGAACCATTTGAAGCGATGTGTTGCATTTTTATTTGATATGATAGTGTCACAGTAAGAACAACTTTGTGGTGCAGCTAAACAACACACAGCCACAAATAATGGAACTTGTATGGATGCTTACTTTCCTACTAACTTGCATCAATATTAATTCTAATTATTCTGAAGTGGTAATGATACATTCCTTTTTTTTTTTATTATAGAAAGACAACAGAGCATCTAGTTTTCACTAGTGGAGATTACCTGTATGGCAATAAAAAAACAATACTCTATGAGATCCTGTTACTTAAAACTATCCAAAACTAGAATGTCCTGTTCCAGCCCTCTACATTCAAGACATTTTTTGTTAATTAAAAACTTGCCCCATCTGTGATAAATATTTGGGTTTTGGACCAACAAATAAAAACAATAAAATTACAATGGAAAAGTAGTTTTTTTAAATATCAAACAGGTTAAATACAAAGAAACTTTGATATAGCATTTCAAATAGGGCTGTACCAAATAATATAAAAGCTTCATTCATAACATCGACATGCAAATTCTAAAATCAACATTCGAATGCTGGGCAGCATTTTTTTTTGCATGTCATTCTGTTTAAACCCAGTATTCCTGTACAGTTGAAGATTAATATTATACTATTCGTACCATAAATTACATTTATATAACCACACAAAAAATCTATTTCAGCTCCAATAGTTTGTGACATTGTTACCTCCCTTTGCGCGAGGTACGAGTGAGTGCTGGTCACTCCGAACTTCTGCACCGGACTCTTGCCAACATGTATTTGTGTTGACAGAACTGACAAGCTATATTCATTCAAGAAAATTGATTTAACAAAAAATTACTACCTCACTTGAACTGTAGAACCCCTTTATTCAAACTGAGGATTTTTATTTTTTTGGGTGAGGACGTCATTTCATACAACAACAGATATTTGAGGCATCATTCAAAAACCTCAATAGCTTTAAATTTAAAGAATTGACATTGCTTCCAGCCCCAAGTTCATCAGAAATTACTATGTTCAATGAATTTTGAAAAACAAAGGACAACACGACTCTGAATTAGGAGCTACTATATGGCTATACTTGAAAGAAATGTTCTTTCCATAATGTGTGAGGCCACGGTACCAAAACAGCAGCGAGACAGTGAGAGAACATTCTCTAATTATAGAAGCAAGATGCTGTTGAGGAGCTCCTTTGGGCCTTGAGCTGTGTTAAATATGAGCAGAGCAGCACAGACTGCAACTTAATCTCGATAAGATCACACTAAAAGCAATGGTGTACAGGGAGCTAAAGTTGTCATCACAGGCGTTACCAACCTGCCTTTAAATGCAACTTCAACATCGATCACAAGATTCAAAAACTTAACTCTAATGCTTGACAGTTTTATTAATACCATTTTGTGTTACTTTCATATCATATCAAAGAGTAGGGCTGGACAATATGGCTAACAATGTTATAACAATAAAAAGCTTAATTGAGTTTAAAGGCTGATTTTTTTCTTCTGAGGGAAAGTTGAAGAAACCTGATTTTGTTAATTGTGGTTTAAACTCTTCTTTATGGTCAACACTTGAGGCCAAACAGCGGATCACTTCACAAATATGAGGTAGAAAATTCAAAACAATTAAAATCTTTATCAATAAAATTTAAAGTAAAGTTTTTTCAGTCCTTTTTCCTCAACAAAATAAACATCTTAATAAAAAAAATCAAGTTCTAATTCGTGAATAAGTTATTCAATATGTATTGAATATTTCTAATATTGTTATTGAAAAAATATATATTGTGATAATTATTGTTTAATTGTCCAGTCCTATCAAAGAGCTACTCATCTGGGACTTAATTTCCCACAAAACCTCCATTTAACTTCACACAGTGTTGTTGGATTCTCTCCTACCCTCTAAATATTAACTGAACTTTGCTTTACATTAAACAGTCCGATCTTAATGACTATTATGATGCATCTGCCATTTGGTATACCTCCAAATTACAAAAGGAAAATAATCATTGCTGACATAATTTTATTATATTGTAACAATAACATTCTTAGAGTAAATTAACACTGGAATATATTGAAATGAAATGTTAAATTATCCTTCCTTTGGACACAAGATGAAAGAAAATTTCTAAAGTTTAAGGCTTTAGAAATAATTCTGCTTTTTAATGAGACATAACAAAAATGCAATCAATACTATTAATTTATGCCTTTACCTTGATGGTAGGTGGTGCAATGGCCAAGTATTTGTCTCCATTGTGGTAGGTGATGGACTCTTGTCCTATGATTATAGCTCCACCAAATGGCTCAGGCACTATAACACATGAAAGCACATAGTCAAGAGAGTCGGTGCTAAATTTGTACAATTTCAGACATAAGATACAATTTGTATGTTCCAAACAGGTATACATTTAAGTAGGACTGTAACTAATACTATGCTCATTATCAATTACCATTCTTTTTCAGTTCATCAATTCAATCATTAAATTGTCTCCCTCAGGCATCTTTTTACTATTGACCCACGATTATATATGTCGAATAGTTCAAAAATACAGAGGGTTCGGAGAGGAGAATCAAAGATCACATATACCTTCAAGAGGTTTTCTATTGTGGATGACTGCTGCGCTTTAAAATGTTTTTAATAACAGAATCTATTTCTCAGTGTTCATTTTTGACTAATTTGACAAACAGGTAGGACTTATTATTGTCAGGTCTTCATGCAAGTTTTTTTAATTGATAATGTTTGAATATAACACAAGTATCGTACTAAATTCCAGGTAAAAATCAGATTATAAAAATATAATTTGCAGTGCTTTATTTTATGTTGATTTACTAATTGATTATTGACTTTCAGTAATGTATACAGTATTAGCTCTGATTACCTGGGATGACCATAGATGCCTCAGCCTCAACATTCTCCTGTTTCCAAGGACCCTTGTTGAACTCCTTCTCCCTCAGAGAAACCTCATAGGTTTTCACATGGCGTCCCTGCGGGTCCTATGATACACAACAGGACACCATGTTACATTTTCAAAAACATGTCTTGAATGATGACAATACGACATTAAGTCAGAAGAATAAACAAACTAAAAGGTTCCCTCTGTGAATCTTTTGAACACTAGTAGTGCTGTGGAGCTGTTTTTCTATTAGTGAGTCCCCTGTTTTGTTTATCCTGTGCACGCTCATGAGGACACACATGCACAGACACAATACAGTCCTACCAATGTGTCACACTATGCCACTGATCAACAGGTCGTGGTAGCCAAAATATACAAAAATGCCCAGCAAAGACAGGGAAGAAGCAGACTGAATGTAAACATTGCTGGATTTAAATCCAATAATTTTGGCACCTTTTGTGCAGATGTTTAATCAGTGTTAATGTAAATGCGGTCGATTGAGGGAATAAATCCTTAGTGCGTGTTATTTAGACCAAGAAAGCGGAGTTTGACATGACAGTGACATAGTTGGAGTCTGTAATGCAAACTAGCTACGGTTACAACAGCGTACAACGGCATCTCAAAACATGGGGGCAAGAGATAGAGGATATTATCGTATTCAGTCGTGTTTATTCGAGCCAAAGTATGCAGCTGAAGAAATTCTGCAAGGAGAGGCCGTGGCTACATTAGCAGTACAAAAGGATATGGTTGGCGGGGACCAGCACAACTTGAATTACTGAGAGCGAACACTAATGGCGCATTTACTAATTGCCCTCCGATGCCAAGAGAAACTGAATCTTTCTGCATAGTGTTTGTTAGATGCTGTCACTGATGCCAACCACGAGAGAGCCTGAATGTGCGTTATTGTGAATGCAAGTTTTAAACCAAACTTGAAGATAAATTGGAAAAAACATCCACGACCAGCAGGACAGATACCAGATGACCATTGAGTGAGTATTCTTGTCACCTTAGGCTGTGTTTTGGCCAGAAAAGAAAAACTTTAGGCTATAGTGGTAATGTCACTCCCAAAGGCGGGGGCAATACTGCAGCGCTAGCTAGGATATCTTTTATACAGCTTTTCTTTTATACAGAAGCCTGCTGGGCTGGTATGGGCATCAAAGCTTGCATGTATCCTAGTACATGTAGGCACTGCTGGCATCTTTCTCGGTCTATATAGCATGAACTGAAGAAATTATTTCAATTGACTACACTTACAATCAACACTGACTGGGACAGCCACATAAAAGGTGCAGAATTTTTCCCATTAAAATATTTTAAAAATCAGCTTGGCAAATGCTTTATGGGGAACAAAATGCACTTGACACATTTGTTAGATCTGAAGGATAAAAACATCACGTCCTTTTACCTACATAGTCTTTCCTATTCCCTTAAACACAACTCCTACAGTACCTGATAGATGAAGCAGACAGTTGGAGCCTGGCAGCCATACAGGAAGTGAACATCGATGACCTGCAGCTCCTCCAGTCTGATGTTGAAGGCCTTGAGCTCACGGTTGTCCCGGTCCAATGGGATTACCTTGAACAACCCGTCATACAGCCGTAGGCCAATCATACGGCATTCTGGATCAACAATTCCGATAATACCCGTCTCTGATGGACGTCCAATACGATCCTGCGAAAGAGCATTTGTTTTGGAAAGGTTTAAGGCCCACAGTACATACAGACAAATATCACATTTTGTGTACTCAGACCGCTGTTGATATCAGTATAGCTAGTGAAACTTTGTCAGCTTTTATACTTTAAAATGAGACCTAAAAATTCACAGCATTGCTGATATAAAGCCTAAAGAAAATAATGAAATGTTAGATAAATATTATGTGTTCATATATTCTTGCCATTTTAAATTACAGCAAATGTTATTAATATTTGTGCACATTGCAATTGTGCACGACATTTGGCTGAATTTACAAAGTCTAACTGAAGTTTCATTAATGAGGGCTCAGTATAAATATTAAGAGTGAAATGATGCATTTAACCAAGGTTAATGAGAGAAGGTCAAAATACAAACTGCTCTTCATTTTAACAAACCATAAATAAATATTACTATACAGTGAATTTTGAGAATCATAATCGTACTGCTGTCTCACCCACCTGGACATTGCCATGGGCACGGGTGATGATGTCAATGCTCTCCCCATTCTGTTTGTATTCTAGGATGCAGGCATTGTACTTGGATGTGAGAATGAACAGCAGGTCTTTGCTCTCACCCTGAAAAAAAACAGACAAAGTCATCAAAGCCATCACAGATCAAACATGCAGAAGCATCCAAAAGCAACTATTGTGCAAGAATTATCTGTCTTTTTTTCAGATTTATAATAACGCCTAATATTTGGGATGCGTCTTGATTGAGCTGCCCAGGTATATTAGTGGCCACCCAAGTATATTTGGCAAAGAAACGCAGAGAGAGTTTTTATGTATTACGTTACAAGATGTGGACACAGTGGATATTTTATAAGCACGGACCAAGTAAATTCGCTGCTGCCCAAGTTGTCCGTCATTCTGTGGGAAACACTGCTATGTGGCACATACATCTGCCAGGTTCAGGGTTCAACACAGAATTTGTGTGGATTCACTTCTTTTGAGGAGAATCAACAAAGTTTTGAATTTTCTAACATGTTAAATTTCGACTTGAATAAATAAAACATAGATGATTAGATGACTGATAACAAACTAGATAATATAAATAATTATTACATTTTACACTTCGTTGGCTTGTTTCCATGTATTCTGTCTAGAATAACTATGTTTATAAAAGGGTAAGCCAAGAAACATATAGATCTTCACTGAGCCCAACTAGTTTGTTGACCAGTTGTTCCAACAGCCCACCAACTACTTCATTTTAATAAACTTTAACACACTGCTACCAATGGCACACACACACACACGCGCGCGCGCGCACACACACACAACACTTACCTTTGGCCTGAAGAGCTCCATGACAGCAATCTTTCCATACATTCCCACTTCCTTGACGGGCCTCAGCCCCTCTGCTGTGACCACATAGATCTCTAACCGTGTGTTTTTTGCTATGAGCAGATTGAGGTCTTCCGCAGAGGTGAAGTGACCTGTAGACACACCAACATTTGTAACATGTCAACTACACTGTACATGAGAGTAACAGAGGAAAAGATGACTGAGAAAGGTGGACAAACATCAGCTATAGGGATGAAAAGCAAGTCTGACATCTTCCAAAATCCCTGTTTTCTTGACCAAATATTTGTACCGATAGTGTGGTGATATCTGAGGCATGATTATTGGTGCTTCTAAAAGATATTTAGACTAGGGTGGCAACTAACAATTATTTACTCGTTAGGTCTATGAACAGTCAAAAGTATAAAATAATATAAAGATAAATTCCTATCACAAATCACTTGAGCTCTACTTGTAAAGTATTAAAATAATGTTTATTGGCAGAAAAACATCAACAAAAGTATTCAATTTTCTATAATATTCTATAATAATGTGAAACAGAGAAAAGCAAGAAAATATTCACACTTGAAACTAACCAGCAATTTTTTGGGGTTCATAAATACCCAAAACAATCATTGCCAAGCAGACTCATTTCACTCACCCACAACAATCAGAAAAGTTTAGAAACTTAACTTTAGAAACAAAAAAGTTAATTTAAGACTTTGGGCTTTGACTAATGCATACTTATAATTTTATTGACTTTCCAGCTAATGAGTAAATTACACAAACTACTAAAACATTTACTTCTTCTTAAATTGATCTGAAAGATCCACATTCCCGTAAAAAACCCCACATACAAACACTAAGAGCTGAAATCAACGCAAGCATCTTTATTCAACACTCCTTTTCCATGCTTACCATCTCGGGGAGGGGGGACAGTCGTTAATGGTAACAACACATTTTTAATTAGAGTTACTGGTTGCATTTGAAGCAGTACGTTTTACACCCAATCAAAGTTACACAAATAAATCAGACTATGCAAAAGCAATTTATTGATAAAAAGTTATAGTTATAGTAATAATTTTAAGAGTACTCGAGTACTGCAACACGATCTCCAAGCATTTCATTTTTAAATCAACATCACTACACTATGTTTATAGCAGTATATTTTCATACAGAGATATGAGAATCTGATGTGAGATATCTTGAGAACGCAACCCATGGACTCTTTTACAATTGTGTTCCTACTTTTAAACGTAATAACGTTATTGTTAAAAGGAGAAGGATGGTAGACACTGATGTTAAGACAAGACATTTCATATGTGCATGTATGTCAAATCCTGAGTTGCACATAATCCATGGGCTATGAGATGATTCCATATTTTGTGGCCAATGTACGTTAGATCAAACGACGACAACCGTTTCCTGATCATTTTAACAAGGGGGGCCCAGAGGGACTACTTGTCAGAAAACGTAAATTGCCAATATGCTCAGCATGTTTCAGGCAATTTGCAATAGGGGTGACATGATTTATAATGTTTGTCAGCATGAGGAAATGCATTAAGATCAGGGGTAACCTTAACCAAACTAAGCACGACAACAGCTAACGTTAGATCCGAAAGAAGGACCGACGAAAAGGTTCACCGGATCATATCTGCGTTAGAACAGATGTATGACATAAACACATAAGAGACGTGTGTGCCGTGACTCGCATACATATAAGTATTACTGGTGTAGCATGTAAACATTTGACTTAGCAAAACAAAAGCTAGCAGCTACTACAGGCCCGTCTGGAGCACTTTCCTCGCAGCGCGGGAGCTCGGCTAGCACGCAGGTGACAAACGCACAACTGCAAAAAATAACACACACAACAAACCTGTGATGCAGGCGTTGACTGCCGTAGGTTTCTGGGCTGTTACCACGTAGTTGTACGACATTTTGACAACAACAAAAGACAAACACCAGAGTAGTGTTTTAATCTCCCAAAAGTGCCAAAATCATTGATAATAAAACTCCCGGAAGTAGTTAGCTGAGCCGTTTAGGTATGGAGCATAGCAAGGTAACGGCGGCGGCGGGAGGAGCGCCCCCGCGTGTCGCGGAGGCCTGTTGCTCTCGATGCTTGGAAGAGGCTGTGGCAGAAAGTAAGCATAGGTACATCTCAAAAAATTAGATTCAAGCCAAAAAGTGAAATTTTTAAGGCCTTTTTTTTGTTTTCATCTTGATGATTACAGCTTACAGCTCACGGTAATCAAAAATCCATATCTCAATATATTAGAATAAAGAATTAAATGTTGACCTCAGAAGAGCCTTTAATCTCTCTGTCAGGACACACAACCACAATCATGTAGAAGACTTCTGACTTGACATCAAGATTAAAACAACTAAACGCCTGAAATATATTACTTTATAAGTAATGAATCTAGAATATATTAAAGTATCACTTTTTGACTTAAATTACGAGAAAGAATAGACTTTTTCACAATATAATTTTTTTTATGTGCACCTGTAATTTTCCTGAATACAGCAGGACAAATGCTGCTGTGCATTTTGGGGGAAAAAGTGAAACTAGTCAGACAGACCTCTGTTTCTTATTTTGATCCAACATTAAAAGCAAGAATTATATTTCCCTGCTGTAATGTTTAGTTGTTTGTGAATAGCTTTTACTGTTGAATACATTTTAAATAAAACTAAAACTAGAATCTATAAAGGGTCCCCACATCAATCTCTGTTAGACTATGTCATGTTATATACGTTCAACAACAATCAAAGCAGAAATGATATATCATGTTATTTTGTTTGTTGTTATTGTTGTGTTTTATTCCTAGGAGTCTGGTGTTCTTATTGTTTGTTTTAACTTTTTTTTTTTGTGTGTCCTGAAAAGCCTTTTGTAAATTGTTTTACAGTTATTGCTGGCCCGTCAGTCCAACCTCTGATATGTCAGACTGTCTTGAACTCACCACCAAGTGTATCATTATTACCGTGGAAACGGGACGCGGATCCATCGGTAGCAAACCTAGCTAATATTAGTCTATCATTTGTCGGCTCTACACAATGGAGACACCTGAAAACACGGCAGGAACAAACCTGACAATACAAATAAATGTCATCAGTGGAAATAACCTGGTAAGATAGTTCAACGTCAGTTAGTGTAACGAATTAACTTTACACATGCTAACTAGCTAAGTGACTTAGCATTACCTTAAATGACTGTAACTAACCAACGGTTAAAGCAACAGAGGTGTGTTTATGAATGTGTGTCTTACATTGTTGTTAGCTAAATTAACGAAAAATTCGCTCTGTTTAGCTTTGGTTAGCAAATATTGTTGATCCACAATTAAAATGAACAGTTAGCTTAACTTGATATCATGGTAGTTTTGAGCTATTGATTATAAAGTAACATTAATCTAGGTAATTTAGTTAACGTCACTTATGATTAGAGCTGTAAAAATGATAATAATAATCATTAATAATAATAATAATATAGCAAGATAACAAATGTTCAATAAATGTTTGATTTAATTCATTTGAATCAGGAACGAATCAGTGCTTAATTTTTCTATTAAGATATTTATTTTGTTGAGTAAAAGGGACTGAAAAATAAATCTCAAACAACTTCATTTTACTTAGACACATTTGTTGAAAAAAGATTTAATCATTGTTGTTTTGAAAGTTCTACCTCAGATATTTTAAGTGATTCACTGTTTGGCAAGTGTTTGTCATATTCTCACCATAAAGAATTGTTTGAAATAACAATTAACCATCTGATGTCTTCAACTTTCCCTCATTAGCAAAAGTCAGCCTTTAAACTTGAAAGAAATAAAGATTAGACATTTATCTGATAAATAATGACATGGAATGATGTGAGATTTTTTTTTTTATCGTGATAACATTTTTGGCCAGATCACCCAGCCCTAGTACTTCTTTTAAAATAAATGCCCTCCTTATAATTTCTCCTAAATGGATTATAGATATTATTCATTCATGAACTGAACTGACATGCAGTGGGGCATACATGTGTGTTAGGCTTTGATTTGTTTTTATGTATGTGAGAGGGATACTTAGTAGGCTGCTTGTGTTTTGGGTTTGTTGTTAATTAATGTGTCTCAATTATCCAGTGAGGGAAGGGTCATGTAAATCGATGGTTGTCAAACCTTTTCATGTCAAGGACCCCCAAACTGACACAAATTAGATCATGGATCCCCTTTTGATAAGAATTTGTCAGAGGGTTCCCCCATCTGATAGGACTTTTGCTTTTAGATGTTTTATTACAGAAAATATATAAAAACCATGACCAAAATAGTCAAACATTCTAGTCGCACAGTCATTGTGCTACTTATGGATGAAATTCTATATAAATGATTCCCCTTTTTGCTGGGGGCTCTCAGGAGGGTTTGCCAGCACACCAATGGCTGAGACTCATGGGATAGGATTTTTACATAATGTCAAGTAGAGGTGGGAGATCTGTTTTAGTTGGTCTTACTAACCATCTAAACTTTAGTGTGGTTTTACTCACTTTCATGTAATAGACACTTTATTGTGTAGTTAGATATGAACATCGGATCAGAAATGAAATGACTGGTATCTGGATCAGGGGCAAATAAACAAAAACCCTGACAACGGAAGATTGGCTGAGGCTGAGAAGGTGTTTGGCTCGCAGTTTTAATCTAATGTTACATGTTTTGTTTCTTGTTTTTTCAGCTAGGAAAAAAGTCAGACAGCTTCCAGAGTTTTCTGCAGGTTGAAATGGACGGGATAGTTCTGGGAGAGTCGGACAAGAAGCAGTCTGACTCTGTGGAGCAGCGTGTTGATTATGACTTTACCTGCAGCTTCCACTGCCCCAGTGATGCTGAGGCTTTCAGTAACTTCGCCCATAAACCGATCATATGTAAGTTGAGTTTGACATCTGACATAACTGACAGTTGAGATAACCAGCGTCTGACACTGAGGTTTTTAACCTAAATTTTACTCTGTGTCTTTTAATTTTTTAGATTCTTGTTGTTGCTGGCTTGCAACCTATTCCAGCCAGTTTGAAAGTTCAGATGTAGACTACACAAACTAGTTCATGGAGTGTGGTTAATTGATATTTATACCAGCAGTAGATGTAACTTGCACACTGATAGCCAACTGACAAACAAGCAAGCTATAAGTAAATTCCAATGTGTGACCTTATTGTAAGTGATTGTTACATTGACCAACTATTTTCATTTATTGTTGGCTTAACTGCAAAAAATAGCCTTCAACCTCTAAAATCACCAGATTTCACTTGCTGCGATTTTGTTGTCAGTTGATGGCGATACTGACTGTTGATGGCACAATTGGTAGGTTTGTCAACCATCCAAGACTTATTCTCTAAAGATATATCCTGCCTTTACAGTCAGTCCCTACGAATCACTGCTAATACCTGAGTGACAAGTCCACTGCAGTGTAATTATCACTAATCATTGTAATAATACTGGTGGTAATTTGCTCACTGGTCAACACAGGAAGGCCTGGAGTTTTGCACCTGTCTGTACAGCCCTCACTTTTCACAGCAATGTAATGTAATTGTTAATGTAAATTGTTTTGTTGCCGTCAGTGACAGTGACAGAGGTCCTGCCTGAGGAGAAGAAAGGTGAGGCAAAGACAGCTGTGCTGGGCCAAGCTGTGGTTGACCTGCTTCCGCTGCTGCAAGGTATATCTGTTAGAAATTATATGTTTTTACTTTGCAATAAAACAGAGCTGGTGTATCTCCCCAAATGTTGCTTGATATTGAGCTCCAAACAGCATAAGTTTACTTCAAAGAGCTTTCCTTACAGGGCAGGACTTTCATTTTCTCTTCTGTCTCCAGGTCAGTGCAGCTTCTTGTCCACTGTCCCTCTGAATCCAGCTACCAGCTCTCTAGCTAAAGAGTCCTCACAGGAAAAGGTTGGTTGGTTAATGACTACACACTAATATCACCCAGTTATTGTTGGGGCTAGGGTCAAACCTACTGTAATTAGTGAGTAACAGCAATGTCATATACTTACTTTACATTTCCATCTATGTGTTGACAAAAGATCATTGTACTAAATTACTCACTAATGAGATGTGCTGGTACTAGATTTTTGATGGCTTTCATGCCGCTCTTACAAAGTGAAATGGATTCCACATTAATTTTAGTTATCTGTTCTGAATTAAAATATAATAATCTTTGTTCCTAGTTTCCCCACCAACATGTTTGCTGAGTTGTTGGTGGGAGATGAGTTGCCTTTTCCCCAAAACACATTTTCATACTTAATCAGTGCGCAGGTAGGCAGTTAGTGAAGCCGGGTTATGTTGGTTGGTTATTTTATCTATAAATGTTTTCTCTATTAAATTTCCAGGACATTTACATTATGTACAGTATATTATTTCACAATATGTATTATTATAGAAAAATAATACTTACATATACTGCGATTTAGGTTTTTATACATATTGCCAACCCCTAGCATAGGTACAGTTCATCCAGAGAGCTAGTGGATTAGACCTTAAATAGATGGTAGTTGTTTATTCCATATTCCTCTATCAGTGAATGTTTTACAATCACAGAGCAGCCGGAATGCAGAGACAGCAGTTAGGGAAGGACAGAAGTTGGTGACCAACCAGGCCATGTTAAAATTGAAGAGGAAGGTAATCCCATCTGAACTCACTAGGGCTCGAAAGACTACAGTTAAAGTATCATATTGGAACATTCTCATTCCTGCGTCTCTAATCACAGTTGCTCACAGTATAGGCATCTCAATCATATGGACATTTGGCATGTAAGGGGTGCACATTATGAAATAAATTGTTAAAAACTACCAATAGTAATAGTAAAAAATAGAGTCACTCAGTTTTAGTATTCACTCAGTGTATGTGATGAGTTGGAAAATAATATTTACAGAACTTAAATCATGGTTGACCATTGGGATGCACTGTTCTGTCACTGTGGTGAGAGAAAACAGCCAGTCTGTCAGTCCTGAATCTCTGTTATACAAATACACTGTGTGGGGTTTTGAAAACTGGTTGCCGTATTTTTATGCTTATTGGACACTAGGTTGAGCTTGATAGTAGCATAAGTCACTGCACCTTGACTTTGAGGTGTTACTGTAGGTGTGGCATTCCTGAAACAGGAGGTACAGATTAACTGATGTCAATTCATAGTACGGCAGTGACTCTTGGTACCTCAGATGTTTTTGTGATAAAATCAAAGACTGTTACATTTTTTTTATAATTAGAAGTACTAATCTATCGATAATATTTCAAGCACAAATAGGAGCCCCACAGTATGTGTGCATAACACCATGGGTCATTCCTAACTCAACAACACGGGCACTGCATAGTGAATGAAAGCAAGAGTAGCTAACCAAAGTGATATCTGACATGTGTCTGTAGTGAAAGAATCAAGATCAATTAATCAACAAAAATCCCTGCTTTGTCCAGAAAAATCACTGGTTCAACATAGTGAAGCAGGCTTCAGCTTTTTACACAGCACTCATTTAATCCGTCATCCTCTCATGTTATCCAGAACTGCATAGTGTACACTGCTCTAGCACAAGTGCTACATAGAGGAGGATTTGAATCCAAAGCAGGAAGAGAAAAATGCAGCCAGTATCGCATGACAATGTGTGGATGAACATGATTGTTCACAAAAAATGTTTAATTAGTGAGGTGTATATTTTTTCTAATAGACAATAATATATGATTTTGTGAGTTGTTCTATCAATCAAACCCTGTTTTTGTCTCGTCTTTTTTATTCAACCATATTATGAAAAGACGTCCTCACAGTTTTTGTTTGCTAAAATCAGTTGCATCTCATCTCATCAGCCTTTGTTCAAATGAACACTACAAGTATGTTGTGCTGCCTTCACAAGACAGGCAGATGAGAATCATTATAATCTCAGTTTCACAGAATTTGTGTACAAGAAAACTTTACTTGTTAAATGGGCCATTTTAGAAACAAAACACTTACGAAGAGACTATGGTGAACTTTAGTCATTTATACTGTTCATGCTAAATGTTTCACCACTGTGTATCAAATCTGCAATTCAACTTTTCACGCTGCTGCTAAAAATGAACATTTGTTTCACTCAATCTAGAGGCCAGTGTCTTTAAATACAGCCAGTATTTAAGCCAAAAAATTTAGTGACTCAATATTTTCCCACCAGTGTTTAGAAAGGCACTTAGCACCTCAGGTAGGAAACACCTGACACATTTTACAGCCTTTAACAGTTTATATATAAAACGTGAATGTGCCTCATGTCACCCCCTTTAGCAGCCGACCCTGGATGTATGTGTCAGTGTGTCGGATCCAGTGCTGTCTGAGGCGGAACTCTCAGCCTCCAACCTGCTAAGGGTAACCCTGGAGACAGCCTACTCCATCCCTGTGTCATGGATGCTGCAGTCTGGCCCTGCCCCTTGCACATACACTGCTGCCCTGGAGGTTCCACTTACTGCAGAGGTGAGTGTTACACCGCCTTTCATGTAGGCAAGTGTTGCCCTCTAAGAAAAAAATTAAGGGCAATTTTAACCTTAGATAGTCGTGCTGCACAATGGTACTAGCCGTGTTAAATCAAAATAAAACAAAAAATCCATGCTGCCTAAATCAGACCAACTTCAGATCTGAATCTTTTTCAGGGTGAAGGGTTTTAACACTGTGGCTGTACCATTCCTCCGACTCCCAGAAAGAACAGGTGCTGGTTTTCTGTGAAGGGCAGCTGAAGGTGGGGGGTCAGAGGGAGGAAACGGGCAGACAGAGGAAGAGGCCCCATCAGGCCCTGCTGGTCCCGGGGAACCACTTCCTGCCTGCTACCTTTTTCCAGGCAGAGCCCATCGAACAGGAGGACGGCGAACTGACTGGCTTAGAGGTAACTGCCAATGCAGCCAACACATATTGCAAACTGTGTTGGCTGAAATGCCTTGGTGCATTGATGGATTTTGCAGTATGGCACATTACTGTCACCAACTGTCAATATATGGAATTGCAAGATGTCATATGAATGTTTTTCATTTGATAGACATGGCAAGACTTCAAGATAAACAGCAGTTTTATTTACCAACACACCAAGCAATTTGACACACAAGCTTAGCTAGTGACTATGAAAAGTGCCTTAAAACATTAAAAAGGAAAAGCACATTGCCCTTAGTAGCATTTTCTAATACTATTGATTTTACAGTATCTTCTACAGTGTAGAAGATTGGAATATGTTTTTAAAAAGTACTATGGAGGCAGGCTCAGTTACCCGTACAGTAACAGGGCTCTAAATGTTCCTACAGGACCGGGAGTTTCGCAATGAGGCAGAGACCACAAAACCCAGGGTGAGCTGGGACACAGAGATGTGCTGCTTCCTGGATGCAGGAGGAACTACCAGGTCAGCTACACACACAACTCACTCCTCCTCTTCCTGTCTGGCTATCATGCCACCTGACTTTTAAGAAATTATTCTAGAAAGGGGGAGTCAGTTATATGTTTTTGGGAGATATGTCTGGACTTTTAAGAATTTCTACAAAATAAACATATTTCAGGATTATAGCAGAGTGTACTTGAAAACTTGGTACCCTTGTTCAGTGCATTTCAGGCCAAATGGAAAGGAAATCAGGAACTCATGGAACAGTCATTTGATCTTTTTACTGATTTTATCTCAGAGCCACACAATGAACCTGGGCCTCTGTGATATGTGTAACTCTGAATTTATCAGGTTTTTGCTTAGAATAAAAGTACAATAAACATGTACAAGAAACTCTTCTACTAATTGTTATGGCCGCTGCTCGCTGCCTTAATGTATAATTGTTGTGTTCCTAATGTGAGATTCTGATGTTATGCAAACCCAGCTGTGTGATTCCCTGTCGAGGATTGGTTCCTCTGGAGCAAGTTCGCCTGGCTGTTGATTGCATACCCTGTTAGTTTAGAGAGTATTTCTTTGTTTGTATTTCTTGATATTGTCTGTCTGTTGCCTGTCTGAGTGGCTTCAGTCAGTAGTTTTGAATCGTTGTAAATCACATAGTGTGATATAGTGCACCAAGCGTTGTGCACTCTTTTGTTTGAGAATTTTAAGTTGCAGAATAATTGCTTGTTCGTTTACTTTGTGTTTCTGTAAGCATATAGGTTTTGTTCTTCAGTGTGTGTTTTTTGAGCTAAGTAACTGTCTTTGAACAACACCATCTTTTGTTTCGTTTTGTGTATTTGTCAGCACCTGTATAGCCTCTTTTTGTTGTATTTTCTTGTGCAAGCACGTTAATTAAACCCTTGACTTTAACCGGAATATTTCTCTTGTGCTAACCACCAAATTTCAATCCCAATCACTTGTTGCTGCCCTACCTTAACGAGCTGGGTCGTAACATAATGTATACAGAAACAAAGTTAAAAGATATGAAAATATGTGTATCAGTGTTGACTGTTACTTCAGGCTGCAGCAGAGGATCACTGAGAGCAGACTGTGGCCCGTGGAGATTATGAGGTCTTCACTGGGGAAGGCAGCCGAAACGAAGCTGGTGAGACGGCTTTGTTTTCAAAAGATAGGTTCAGAAATATTTTCAAGCCTTCTCTCTGTACTGTATTGACCTTTACGTAACCAAATGGGAGACAACATCCACAATTGTTTCAGAAAATTGCTTTTAGGTTTAACAAAAGCTATTGTAATGTAATGCTTTAGTAGCATCTCTAGTGGATAGTTTCAAACTTACCACTTACACTTTCACTTATACTAACACTTACCATGTTTTGTGGTTTGAAAACCTGAAAAGATTAATGCCAGACCAACAAGTTCATCCTGTGTGTGTGTGTGTGTGTGTGTGTGTGTGTGTGTGTGTAGCTAGCTGAGGAGAACCCAGAGATCCCCTTCCATGGTGTGGCGTTTGTGGACATGGGGCGTCTGCTGTATCCTGGTGTCAGCCGCATCCGAGGTGCATACAGTATTCAGCCCTTCTCTGCGGACGAGTTGCTGAACAAGGTCACACAAGTTCACGTATAATTTGTTTGCTTTAATGTTTATTTATAGTTCTAGATTTGGGTCTGTGTTTACTGGATCAAGCATCCTATAATGTCTACCAGGAATGACCTATACACAAATGGTATTCCATCTGAATTTGAAATGAACGCTTTTTGGATGCTTATTGACTTTCTTAACCAGAGTCTGATGAAATGATCATGTGTGTCCAGTGCAGAGGTAGGTCATAGGATGTATACTGTGTGTTACATAAATAAAGACTTAAAATAGTCTACTAAATAAGCCTAGTACTGTTTCCATGGTGTGTGAACTGTTAGCCTTTGTTAAAGTGAGTTTGTACTTGTACTCAAAGGGCAAGCAGAGAGTCAGTGTGTTAAAGGAGCAGGCCATAGCGGCAGCCAACCTGGTCAAAGCTCGTGCTGGCTCAGCTGCAGGCTCTTACAAGGCTAAGTCAGGGAAGCACTTGGATGGAAGCAACAAGGGAGCCAAGGAGCCAGCTAAAAAGGTCAGCAAGATGATGGTCTGAACAGAGTAATTTACATGAAAGTTTAATTAACAGAATTCACAGGGCTTGGAAAATCATACATAATGACATATACTGTAAATCCAATTGGGTTTGTGAAGGTTTGACCCTAATGTAACCTGTTTTCATTATGTCAGCATTCTGGAAATCATAGCAGGATGGCAGCAGCCGACAACACGGCCGACAGCCTGACCACTGAAACTGAGCCACAAGTCAATACAGAGGGAAACGTAAGCTTCCAATAAACAGCAACACTACTGTGTACATATCAGTGCAGTCACAAACACAGTAGGCATCATTTACTGGAAACTGTGGTTGTAGCAGCCATATACGTTTGAACTCCTATTGTTCATAATACTGTAATACACTATGAACCTATACCATTATCATTATACCTATTACCATGTTTGCTGTTATGCAATGTTTTGGAAAGCCTTCAGCATATTAACACCTCATTCCTGTTAATGACAGATGTATGTGGAGGCCAGAACTTATATAATCATTGAGATAGCCTTGGAGAAACCACTGGTACCCAAAACATCTCCAGAGGAGCTGGACAGAAGGTAAATCCTAAACCTGAGGATTATATTAATCCTCAAAGTGTTCTGTGGTAACTGAGTTTGACCTGGTTCTGTTGTTTATACTGTCTTGCTAGACTGTGACCCTGAGCTATCAGAACTTGAGAGCTATCAGAAAATGTTCACCTCTGAAGTCAACTTGTTATTAAAATTAACTAATTTAAAGGCACCGGTTCGAATTGTGACAGATTTACAGCCAATGTCACTCTGGTCTATTATATCTGGTTGTTGCCCCTTGTGTCTGACTGACTGTGGAACAGAAGGAGTGAGAAGGTGCTGAGATGCGTCTCTATTTACTGCAGGGTGAAGGTGTTGATCCCACCCAGACTTCCACTTCCAGCCGGTCCGAGCAGAGCAGAAAGAGTAAAACACATTCACAGTTATGCAGTATATGCATACATAGACACTGTGATAAACACACACCAGTGGAGAGTTGCTTACTTGCTGAATTCTCCCATGGATTTGTGCTTCTGCAGGCAGTACTGGACTTCCATAGGCAGGTAGGAAATGTGGTGACCCATGTTTCAGACCAGTATGAGGAATTGTTTGAAGCAAGATGCAAGCCGTCAGAGGACTGCAGCCGGGAGCAAATGAAGATTCAGCTAATGGGAATGCTCAATATCTCTGCGCGATACCTCACCTTCAAGGAACAGATGAAGGTCAGAACAACCACACACATCCCTGGTGGATGGATAAAACTCACAGGAACCCTGAAACTATTTTTTAGAGTTGATGTGTAGCAGTATTTTTTTTCCTGGGGGTGGTGGCTCTTCTGACACAAGTCACTATTTCACCACATAAGTGAATATATATATGTGTGTGTGTGTGTGTGTGTATGTTTGTTTCTGGCATCTAGCATGCAGTGGTGAGGATCGTACGTGACAAGATGCAGCATACAGAGCCATTGACTGACCCTCAGGAGCTAAAGGCTTTTGTCAGCAAGCTCTATGTCTACCTGGTGGACGAGATGCACATAGCTCTCAACAAGGCAATGGCCGCACACACATGCATATAAATATATACAGTATATTTATGTTCTGTATGTTTATGTTAATTTTTATCTCCTCTTCACCAGATTTATTCAGCTGACGTCGATGATGACCCCCCAAATGAGATCCAGTTGAATTCTTCTCAGCTCAGACATTTTGCCAGAGAGGCTCAGCTTACTGGGGATTATCAGCAGGCTGTTCAGTACTACCAAGAGGTACAATAACATGCTCACCTTCCCTAATACTTTTTCTCTTCACTAAGATTTATAGATTTATATAAATGAAACGGAGTAGGGTAGACAGCCAATCACAGACACCCATTTATTCATTCAAATGCATACATATGCCTATTGATTTGCTGTCACAAAAACAACTTAATGGACATACTGGGTTCTTTTTATCTATTATCCATGGAGCAGATCATTGTTTTCTGTGTTTTTGCATCAGGTGTCCATAAGTCAAGTGATAATCACTATTAAGGGCGTCACTTTGTGTGAAAAGTGGTGGGGACATAGGGGCTCAGAATAGGAGTGTGAAGAGACACTTAGCTCGCGAGACATCACAGTACGTAATATTATGTTCATGAGAATGAGACGAAAAGATCCTTAAACAGTGTTTTAAAGATGTCCTGAATGCTGAGATATACGAGTGGGGGGTCTGTGGGGACCTCCCCCAGGAAATTTTGATAATTAATAACTTAATTTCCTGCATTCTGGTGAAAGTTTCTGCACCAATTTATGGTGGAATATTTTTATTTATGTAAAAGGAAATACAAATTTTAGGTAACATGTGGCATTTCAAAATATATAAATATAATCACAGACATTCTGTGTTGCTTTCAGGTCTGTTTCTCCTGTAGATCAACTTTTTTCATGTAATATCATCACTGCTGAGGCAACGCAAAAATTATTTAGTCTTCCCTCCTCTTTTGTTGTGGTCACAGGGAGAGCATGGAAAACTTGGCCAAAAAGTGTCAAGAAGTTGCTAAAGTTACAGATTGCTGCATGCACGTGTTTGGGTCATTTCATAATCAGAAGCTTGTTTTTTTTTAGCTTAAGTTTTTTTTGGGGGAAAAAACACATTTGTTTCTTCTATATTTTATTTGCATTGCATGTTTTCTTAATGTGCAAATAAACCTTTCTAAAGGTATTTTCATTTGTTATTTAACTGCAAGCTATATTTCAAATGATCACTATGCAGATAATGACAGTGGTTAGGAAAAAAACTTAAATGGCCCTTGAATTAGGTATTTGTTTTCGCGCAGCTGGTGGTAAGGCATCCTGGTGAGCCCTCTTACAAATTTGAGTGGGGAAGCCTCTACATGCTGACCGGAGACTACATGAAGGCTAAAGAGTGTTTCCATGACGCCGTGTCCATCCAGCAGGCACACCAACCCAGGTTAGAAATGTTCCAGTTATGTTAAAAACATGAAGTAGCTACAGAATATCAAACATTACATCAAACAAATCATTGATTTATTAGAGAAGAGAAACAAGGGATTTCTGATTATGCTTATGTCTCAAGGGAGGGATCTAAACCAGTTCTACACTGAAATCCATTATTGGATTATTTATCCAAAATTGAGAATAAAACAGTTATCATGTGTCTATTGGCATTGTGTAACAGGACATCGTAAACATAGTTCCAGTTCTCCAGTTCTCTACTCCTAACCAGTAAACAAGTTGGTTTTCCTTGGATTAAAGGGCTTTGCACACAAAGTCTGTATTTTGTGTTTGAGTTTTTTTATCTGTCATCCAATAAAAATCATTATGCACAGAAACCTTGTACAGTGAGTCTGATGTGTTTTATTATTCTATTCTCAACATGAGACTAAATGGACTCATCAAGCAGTGAGGGTAATTTTGTGGACACTTCGCCTGTCTGTTAGTCCTGACTGCAGCTACCTGAAGGGGCTGAGCTGTCTTCCCTGTCGGTCTCCACACTGTCGCTCTCCCTTTCTGTCTGTGTGCTGTTCTCATCCTCTATTTCATCCTACTCCTCTACATCATCATCCACCTGAGCATTAGCATCTGACCTGTTGAAGGTAGGCTGTCTGAGTTATCAAATGATACTGTGCTTTTGACGGATGCAAAAAAGCAAAGAAAATCTAAACTGTTTTGAAAACTTGTGAGTCATTGTTCAGAGCTCTGACTCATTGTGTAATTGTGATTGACACAACGTGAGGCCATATTTATTTTCAAACAATTTTGGACGAAAAATATGGACTTTGTGTGCAAAGGCCTTTATGGATAAATACTCATAAACTTCACTGTTCTTCACCTCCACCTCATCACTTATAGTCTAAAACTAGAGATGTAAAATCACTTTTCATTTTGCACATTTGAAACTGTATGACAATAAAGCTTTGCTTCACAATCAATACGAAAGGAACAGGTAGAATTGGGGGCAGCCCACCATACCTTTTTACTGGAAGGTGCCTTAGTGCCTCTGTTTAAACATGCAGCCAAATAATATGATGTAAGCAAAACATTTGAACTGGGGAGTCAAGACCTGTTGTCTGTATCCTCTTATTTCCCCAGCTTGATGATGTGTGGAGTTTTGGCAGCAATGTTTGAGCATTATGAGGAGGCTCAGACCTTCCTGGAGCAAGCAACAAGCTTAGATCCACCTAGCGTGGTGGCCTGGACCCTGCTGGGTGAGACGAAAGTCCTGTCCATGTTCCTACTCACTGCTGTTTAACCTGCGAACCTGCTGCCAACTCAGAACACATACAGACTGCTACTACTGACACTCTTTTGTCAAATATCAGATATCAGCAAGTGTTGTCTACCCCGAATATGACTAGGCTCCTGTGAGGCTACAGCTACACAAGACACTTTGTGGTCTATGTGTATCTTCTATTAGTTGAATTATTTGATCCACTTTTTCTTTTATTCTTACTTTAAAGACAGTAAGGTGGGTAAAATATCTTTAAACGCTGATAACTTTAAATTCATTAGTCTGGTTTCAGTATACAATTCTTAAGCTTTGTTTAAGCTAAAAGAGGGAAATACACTAAAAATGTAAATATCAAAGATCATCAACATCTAGAAACCTTGACTGACATTCATATCAGCCCTCACAAACTCGTATCCTAAATGACATTGAGCAGTAATGCTAGAAAGGTGCATGCTGAGAATTGTCTAGTCTCATTTCACGTTTCTGGGTCTGCTGTCCAGGTTTGCTCCATGAGAGCCAGAACAAATCCTTCCTGGCTGAGAGGGCTTTTCTGGAGGCCAGAAGGCAGCTGAGGGAAAATGAAGCAAAGAAGCAAACGCAGGGGGAGGAGGAGAGGATACATGGTGAGAAAGACGAGGAGAAAAATGAGAAGGAGAAAGATCAGCAGGAGGACGGCGAAATGGTCACACCTGCATGTCAGTCTCCCACTGTTAAGCAAGGTGAGGTACAGTGAGAGTGAATGCAGCCTGCGAAGAGGAGTGCACTGTTTCATCTGAATGTAATGCTGTGTTGTGACTCTGGTGTTATATCTGTGCCAGTGGTGACTGAGAAAGGGTAATTTGGGTTTCGGTTTCTACCCACTTCCAGCTCTAATTTGTTCTAATAGATCTGCAATGTGAAACTCTGCTTGTGTCTTCAACACTATGTAGAGTAAATGGTGAAACACACTGTGGCATTCACATCCAAAAATTTTTTTTATTATTGATATATACAATCTCAAATGTTGAAATGGTGCATTTCCAATGTGAGAAGGAGAATTCTTAATTAGAAATGGTTTATAGTTTTTGTTTAATGTCTATTCATCCTGCCTTTACTTTAATCTATTAGGACGAAACACCTGTAATGTCCATCTATCCATCTAAATACAGTTTAGATGCTCTCTGTTAGCACAAATCACCTAAATATAAGACTTGTCTTATCTCCTCTGTCTGTCATACGCTCATTGACGCTTTCAGTGCACTTCAGCCTGAAGGCCTGTGGCAGTGACTGTGGGTTCCTGGAGCAGCCAATGTTACTTGACAGTTTTACGGTAATTTTATTCTAGACCCAGAGCGTGGAGACCAGGACTCAGAGGCACAAGGAGAGCCTCCAGCACAGAGTGTCAGATCCATATCAGCTCCAGTTAAACTCTCCTCCACTATTTACACAGAGACGGTTCAGTTTCTGCTGCAGAACACTGCCCTGCAGGTAAAAGCACACATATTGGCTGGAGGTTTGCCAGTTGGACTCAGAGTCATTTTGTGTGTTATGGGACAAAAATGATTTATTATTATTGATGTTCCATCATATGGAAAATGTCATTTGGTTTGGTTTGTCAAACAATGGCTACGATGAATGTCTAAATCTAGAAACTGAAATTGTCAGCAGTTAAGTTTCAACAAAAAACAACCATAACAACAACAACACTGTTTTCCTGTTGTCAGATGGCAGAGCATGCTCTGTCCCAGGAGCTGCTGTGGTCAGGCAGTGGTCGCTGTGTCTCATATCTTCTTCATCTGGCTGAGTTGCAGCTGCTCAGAGCTGACTACTGCAGTGCTGCCGCCAACCTCAAGGAGGCACTACTTCACAGCAACCAGGTACTCACTCTGACTACTGACAGCAACACTGAGTAAGGACTGGGTGGAAAATGTGACATGTTGGTTCGCTGCTTCTGTACTGCTCTGTTGGAGCTGTCTAATCCATCACATTTAAAAAGCAGAAAAGATTAACATTTAGTTTTGGTTTGGTTTCTTTCACCTAAACGATGTTTGTGATCAGCAAAAATATAATTGACTCACCAGATAACATGACTTTGAATATGGTATCTACTGAAATTATTAAGTTAATCAGCATTGGCATCATCATTTTATTTTTATTTTACCTTTATTTTACCAGGAAAGAAAAAAAAAATCCATTGAGATTTTTAATCTCTTTTACAAGGATGTCCCATCAGCTGGAGAGGTGGCAACTGAGATGTAAGATGTAAGGGACGATGTTTCACAAGGCAATGTGGTGAAGCTGGTCCAGGAAGCATTTTTTTTGCAGCTGTAAACTTCCATTGTAAAGTGTCCTCGTGTTCTTCAAAGAAAAAAAACTGGAAGGTTTTCAATAATATTATAGGACAAAGTTATTGTCATTGCACATAAATGTTACACCTTCACTGGCAAATGACAAATATTTTTTGTCCCACAGTTTAGTTTGTGGAAAAGCACTAAATACTATAGCAACCAAGAGCCTCAGTTCCTGCTGATTTGATCCCAACCAAAGCCATGAATGAGAGTTCTTACATATTTAGAACACTTTGTTGGTAAAATCAGGAGCAAAGCATGTAGTTGGTAAAGTCTTTCAAATTAATCCACAATTCAAAAGCAAATGAATTATTATAATTATAAATACAATACAGAAGTTTTACAAAGTTCCACTGAGCTCAGTAGGCATTATATAATTTTTAGAGAAACTTGTGTGTCAGAGCAATGTTAAACCCCAGTCAGAAGACAGGCTGAATAAGATTTGTTGAAACCATCAACAATGACAGCAAACGCGAGTTTACCTGTGTCACTGTGTCCTTCTGAAATGCCTGTTGGTGAAGTCAGAAATGTTGTCTTTATTGGTAGTAGTATGTTCATGAATGAACAACTCTTTTTGAATAATTATCTTCAGTGGATGTAGGGAACCGGTTTTTTAAATTTACAATCTTTTTTTGTCTGTTAATATTGTTGAGAATTATTGTAAGCCCGCTGTCAGGTGTGAAGAAGTTTCGGAGACTGATGAAGACTTAACATAGCATGGTTTATTGAGCCCGGCCGAGGAGATACAGTGCTAGCATACAACATGTGAACACGTCAAATGCCAACACCAAATCTGAAGGAGAACATCTTGTGGTCCCTTTTATGTTTCTGTCTTCCCCCTCGTGCCTGTAGGTTTCTCTATTAGGTCACCTTCACCTAGAACACCTAATCTATCTGATGTTTAGATTCCAATGCTTCATCATATTGGAATCTCTCACTATCCAAGAGTTGTACTCTAATCTGTGGAGCCAGTTGGTTCTTGTAAACATTCTTGATGGCTCAACCTTGTAAGATTCCCAGAGAACACTGATATCTGCTAGCCTGATGTCTGAGCTACTGTCTCTAGCTAATCAGTCTATTGTTGTCTTCTTGACGAGGACAAATACGTGTGAGAAATACCTAAAGCTAACAGTTATGGGGTCAGCTATATTACTCTAAGCTAGACCTGTCTTACCTTTCCCTGTTACATCAATTAAGACACCTAAGAAATATTCTCAACAAATATTAATATGATGTAACCACACAGCAGTGGCAAGGTGAGCACCAATAAGCCTGATTAAACCAGCATCTCTACTGAACCCTGACTTGACAAGTGTTGTCCACCCTGTGAGCAGGATGCAGATGTGTGGGCTCTGAATGGTCACTGTCACTACTTGTGGGGGGCATTCAATGAAGCCCAGGAGAGCTATGAGCGGAGCCTGAACTCCCTGCAGCAGCCATCAGACTTTCACCTTGTCCTCCTTCGCCTGGGATCCATCTACCTCCAGCAGGGGAAGGTCAGAAATTTAGACAAGCTTCACTGCTGTCTGATCAGTCAGACCGTTTACTCATGTGTACTTTGTCTGCTGATGAGTCAGTGGAGGAGATTACCTGGTGCATTTCCAGGAAAGACTATTATTTCAATCATTGTTCAAACCTAGTAGCCACAGGAAAAAGTAGAGACTCTGAAATACTAAAATGAACCTGCCCATTTTAGTCATGATACGTATTTCTAAATTGGCACTCTTGGCTAAAAAGTCACGAAGAACAATTGTTTTTTAATTTTACAGCACGATTATGACAAATTGGCTATTGCTCTATGTGAATGTGTACTGTAAATGTAACTGTGTGAGTGTGTCCTAAAAAGACCATTATGCTGTAGAAAGTAGGCAGAAATCACAGTTAGTTTCATTTAATTTAAGTTAAAGCAAATGATTGTAAAACACCTTGTACAAAGTCACTAACTACAGTGAAACTAAATCAGTCATTTTTGTGTTTTAAACTTTCAGTTTGAGCAAGCCAAAGTTGTCTACGTGCAGGCTTGTGAGCAGTCTCCGTCCTGCCTGACCTGGCTGGGCCTGGGCGCCGCTTGTTACCGGGTAAAACTCCACCTCCAGAATAATGATGGAAACATTTGCAAATCCAGTTTAATTCTGGTTTTGAAAGACTCCAAAAGCAGCAGTCTTATTTACATGTGGTATCTTGTGAAATTATGATGTTTGAGGCTGTTAGTATTGGGATTATTTCTTCACGAGAACCTAGGCTTAGTGATTTCACTCAGCATCTAAAAAATCCTCTTCTCACAGTGGGGTTGCAAGTTTTAAGTAGTACCCTAATTCTACTGTGAAAAAAGCCTATTTTACTCTTGGATGTACTGCATAGTTAGCCAAAAAGTGTATATGTAAAAGTAAACAAGTGTAAATGTAAACAAGACAGCTGTGGAGTTGTTGGGAGCCATATGTGATCATGTACTTTGGAAGGAAGTGAGCCTTGGTCATGTTTGTGTGTCTGTGTAGCTGGAGGAGCTGTGTGTAGCCGAGGAAGCTTTGACTGAGGCCAACCATTTAAACAACCAGAATGCAGAGGTGTGGGCTTACCTGTCTCTGATCTGCCTCAGGGTGGGTGATGATGATGCTCTGAAAACACACAAGCCTCTCTGCCTCCCTTTTAGTCTATATTTTATTAATACAGGACATGACACAATGGGCCGAAACTTTCCCCGATAAGGATCCCAAGAAATGTAGCCTTTCTTCACCCAAACAGCTGATGTATCATTTGCTCTTTAGTATCACACAGTCCTTTGGTCCCACAACTCACATGACCCTGTCATATTCTTCAGTGAGATTTGACCACTCCGTTTTAGAGAGGAAATGCAGGTCCAGTGAAGAATACACCTTTGTGGTCTACGTCCCTTAAGGAATGCAGCCCCTGCTTTGGGACACCGTTAATCACACATTCCCTTTTTCACTGTCTGCAACTGGATATTTTTCGACGCAGTCTGAAGATACCTGAACTAACCATGTCACCAACCTTTTGTTTTCAGTCTGGCAGACAGGAGGAAGCAGAGCAGTTTTATAAATATGCAACAAAGGTGAGTTAGACTGGTGTTCAGTCATAGTGATTTTAAAGTAGGACTGGGACCAGTTATGGATTTATTGTTAATTATTGATAACGCTGCAAACTTTACATTAAAAACAAATAAATCTACAAGTTCATTTGTTTCTATGTTCAACATAAAACACAGCAAACCAAGGCTTTTTGATTTCTCCAAAAGTCAGTAAAATACAGGACTTTTTCCTGTAGATATTTTTTTACTGAGGAGGGTGTTGTATACTATAAAGATTGTAAAGCCTTTTGAAGCATATTTATGATTTGTGATATTGTGCTATATAATAGATAGTTTCAAACAGATCTCCTAGTTTCTTTTGTTGTCACACAAACACATCTAGGCCTCTGTATTTATCATTCATTTTGCCAAATGTTTTTATTTGACTACTTATGTCCCTGTCATCCAAGACCTATTTAAAAGTTATATCTCTGTTTTTATTTTACATAAAGAAACTCACATCTAACGAAAACCTTTTCTTTTTTCTTGGTATACAGTTCAACCTGCAGAAGGAGTCACTCATCAAAGAGTTCAGTGAGCTGAAGGATCAGCTCTGCATCAGTCATCTGGAGTCTTGCTTTGGAACAAGCTCTGAAGCAGGGGTTTAAATCATATGACCAAGTACATTTCATACAAATACACATGCAGTATCTAAATGACCAACATTTTTAAAGATGTTTTATTGTATTGTAAGCATACATGTATTAACACCTTTTGTAAAAATGAAACACACCCAGCTCAGCTGCACATGATGGATCCAATTTTACAGGCAGTGGCTATCAGTAATTGACCAAGCCATAACATAAAAGTTAAACCCTGTTCAATATCAACATTACAAACAAACTCAAAGCAACACAAATAGTCTCAAATGTATATAAAACAACTGCAATATAGTCTTTTAAAAAATGTACAGCATTAACAAAAGAAATGAAAAAGGGCATGTGGTGATATTAAATATTAAGATATTAATGTTTTAAAAAATCATTATCTCCCTTTTCATGTTATTTTTCCATTTGAACAACAAAACAAGCCCGAGTTCTGTCCGTGTTATTCTAAAACGCCGTACCAGATTTTGGCACAATCCTTCCTGCGTTGGAAGGAAATGTTATGTCGAATATATATTTTTTTTGGCTACAATTCCTGCCAAACAGATTTGTAATGCATGTGTTGGAAGAGATGCATTTTAGGTCTGAAGGTATTTCTTATATTAAATTTGAAAATTCGTGCCCCAAAATGTCATCCGTATTGAGGCTGGATATGCATTTCATATACATTTCCTATACCTTTAAAATACACTGTTTTGAAGTGGTCAGTGATTTCCCATTGTATTGGAACATATTTGCTTTCCATATGACCATTTTTATTGTGCCATTTTTACACTGGTTTGTGGCACAAACTGATCAATGTCTGACCTGAGCAAAGACTTCTCGCAGCCACGGTGAATCCTCATAAAGGCGAGGGTCACCCAGATACTCTGAGGTCCTCTTGTACAAGTAGTAGTACAACACAGACGCTGTGAACGGGAAATGAGGAACTTTTAACATACAAAAACACCAAACATACAGAAACTGTTTTTTCAGTCTCTAGAAGGTCAGTTCAATTGTTCTGTTGTGAAATCAAGATTTTAAAATTTCAATTAAGAGACCATGCCAATGTTTTATCTGTCTAGCCCAACTATTACAAATCACACCTTGCTTACATGACTGCTAATGAAGAATGAGGAATTCATGCAACTGGGCATTAACTTGCAAAAACTTGAGACTTGCTAGAGTTAGTAAATCAGTCACTTTGACTCACTTCACTTACTGTTGAGTGGTAATGAAGTGCACACTTTTTTGAAACTAATCTATATTAGCACACCAATTATAACCCTTACAACTTTTTAAAGATAAATGCATAGAAACATGACAAATGTTATTGATGATTGCTAAATAAATACTTTAATAGCATTTTATAGTTTGCATAAAGCATTAGTCATTTCCAAGTGATTAGCTCCTATGTTATAACTTTGCACAAGGTTACTTGAGATGTAATGTGTGATTGTACGTTGCTGTATGTTAGCATTTAAAAAAACAGACAGAGAAATGGAAAAGTACCCACAAACATTTACAAAAACTGTATGAGTGGGATCATAAAAGTACAACCAGCAAAGTTTATAGCGTCTTAAGGTGGAATTATAATGAAAGACATTTTGTGAACTGGTGAAACATCACACAGTGAGTAACTGTCTGGGTGGGTCTTAAGTAGCAGACAAAACAGAGAGATAAATAAAACATGGCGACAGTACGTTCTCATACTTAATCACTTGCAGAGAACAACAACAACTAGACAATAAATCCTCTTATCCACTTATGAGCTTATATGTGTATGAAAATCACACCCACAAGGCGATGTGAGATCACTGCCTGGAGCCTGTTGGAAGAGAGGAGGGACTAACACTTACAAGAAACTCTGAGAACTATACACTTTCTGTCAGTGACAGAAGCATAAAAGAGCATTAAAACTAAATTGATAATCATGTTCTATTTGAATCGTTGACAAAATTATATCTGTTCTCAACAGCTCAGGTCTGAAACAGGCTACATAAAAACAGCTCCATGGCATAGTTACAACAACCGATGGGTAGGAAGTAAAGGGAAAACTCAGAAGGTGGGGAGAGTGATGGTACAGTTTACTTCTTTAAATGATAATTATGTTTAATTTTTGTCTGTGTGTTTGGACAAGATAAAAATATTCAGAATAAATGCATTTTTGTTGGCATTAAAAATAATGTATTAACATATCATCTTACCTGCTCTTTGGAACAGAAACAACACCTGCAGGCCATCTGTCCAAATAAATCTGTTGGTATTTAGCCAACGCAGATTCTGAAATGATTATACAGAAAAACCTTGATGTCACAGCTTTTAATAAACATTTATAAAAAATAGACTATGTAAAAATTGGACAAGGCTGGGTGTACTGATGCAGTAAACTTTTTTTTAAACAAACATTTCAGGGCGTGCAAATGAAATTGTAGGATTTTGCCCCCTCACAAAGTCTATTTTTCAACAATATAATGACATTATATAAATGTAACATAAATACATACATACAAAAAACATGTGCAGTTTATTTTGGTCATACACTGATAAGTAACACTCATAAGGACTTAAATTTAAATATATCTCTGCCCATTGCTGCACGCACAGCACGTACCATAAGCCAGGAATGCAGTATGATACTGAAGGTCAAATAGAGAGCAGAGAGCATTAGCAGAGCTCTAAATCGCTCCAGCAATATGGCGACCAGGCCAACCCGGAACACAAATGTGTTAAATAGCATCAACAGAATGATGATCAGGTTAAACAGGATGGCAATATCCTGGATACTGTTGAAGAAAAACAGAAGAAGAGAAGAAGATGTGTGATCAGCAGAAACAAAATGGACAGGAACAGAAAGGTTACTGTCTTTGTACAGTGCCAATTCATATCATTCCAGCATCCCCAGTGACTTAGGATAGACTACTAAAGCGTCCTATTTTTAGGTCTGAATTGTTATCCTTTTAAGCTAAAGATAATGCTTGGCTGCTGAAACCATGATGAACTCTTACTTACATGAAAAGGATCAGCTGGACAGCCGGTTCAGCCCTCAGCAGCTCACTGAAGGAGTTGACGAACAGGTCGAAGGAGAGCAGGCTGAGCTGAATCAGTAAAACCAGAGAGTAGTTGCTGGTTTGTAGTGTCTCCGGCCCGAAGGCTAGGCGCCCGGGCGGACTATGGTTCCACGATGGATCCAAGGCTGCACTGCAACGCACGCACACTACATAGAAACATGAATCCACACACAACAGTCGTGACTGTTTGGAGGACTTAGTGAGGCTCCACTCTGATTGCCCAAATACAGGTTAAGTGTGATCGATAGAACATGATGGCTCCATTTTCTGTTGTCAAAATGAGTCCTGTTTACTTGAGAAAAACTGAAGTCCTTTCAAAATGGGAAACACAGTCCAGTTTTGGGATGAGCTGCCTGGAAATCACAGATGTCAACATGTCACAACTGTTGATGTTTGCAGCCAGTCTATGGTGTAGTAAAAGCCTCCAGAACTGGCAAGCTGTTTTCTTGAACGTTCATCTCAAAACTGGTGAAACATCAGCACAAAAGTAAATCCAGTAGACTCTGTGAAAGGAGACAGGAGAGACACATGACACTGAAAACCTGTATTTACTGTACATTGCAACTCTCATTCTGTTGCATATTTAGGTGCAAAGTTTGGTATTTTCCTACCAAAAGTAACCAGACACATTAAACAAATTGTCAATGGCGTGTCTATTGGACTGCCTAATGTTACTTAATGATACATCTCTAAGAGGGCTAGTCCTCATTTATTAGTAAACTTTCAACCTTTTTGACCTTATTAACACACAGGAGCTTTTTTTTTTAATGCTGAAAGGCATCAAATATTTGATCACCAGCTAAAGAATTAAGAGGAACCAAATAAACCTTCACCTGGTGAGTCAATCTTTTTAAAGTTTGAAAGGGAGGGACCCCATGCTTCTGCCAGCAACTCGTGCAACAGTGACTGAAGTATGAGTAACCTGGCCTGCCTCAGAGCAACAGTTTAAACAGTGTCAAAATAAGTCTATAAACTACTTAGGAGAGGTTGTGCCTGCCAGATGATTAGGACTGGTCTGTTTGATTATTTTAGGCTCAGTAGTATCTATCCATGCAGATAGTTTGTTTTTTTTACCTTCACAGATAGCCATCTGAGATTTCTGCCTCGCTCTCATTAGTCATTAGTTTTTGTTGGACCTACTTTCTACCAAAAGAAATGGTCCCTCTGAACGAGCACGAGTAATGAAATTCCCTTTACCCCATTGTACTGGCATGGATCTTGGCCTGGACAAATAAAACCAAAACTATGGCAAGTGAGAGAATATATTTGCAATCCGTCGGGTGAGCCAAACAAAAATGTACCTTAAATCAATAATACATTGGGGATTTGTTGCAAATTTCCAAATATAGCTTGCCAAACCTCCAGGTTACCCCAGGATATTAAATTACAGGTTACCGTTAAGTAGACAAGCAGCTTCTCTCTGAAAAGGGCGTCCTTTCCTGATGATATTTAATGGCATCCCAGAAATACAAAAAAAGGTCCTCAGGTATTCTTTCAGGTTACTTCTCATCCATCACGTTAAATCAGACTATTTCTGTAATCGATTGGTGTGGATTGACAAAACAGGTCCTCCTTTCACTACTGTTCTGCCACTGGCAGTATTAGTTAAGTCGGTATTGTAAATCTTTGCCTTGGCTCCTCCACCCTCTTGTGAGTCAGGATCACTATGAAACAGACTCCTTCGCACTGACACCAGGTGGATCCTCTTATGAACCCTGTATTTATAGCTTGGCACTGCCGTGGCAGGTGTGATGAAGATTAGGACTACTTCTAAACAGTGGAGCGTCGACAAGAAGACTGCTTATTCTTGAAAGCTGTCCCACTGAGATTCTGGGTTAGCAGCCCTACTGGCTCCTGGGCAAAAATGGGATAACCAGTGTAAATAAACAAAGAGAAAATAATATAAGACATAATAGTTGAAGGCAAAACATCTTGTTCAAGGTTTTCCAGGGTTGTGAATACACATAAGGGACAATGAGTCGGCAATTTCCACTCTCTCTTATGATCAGATGTAATCACAAATAAATCAGTTTGTCAGAAATTTAGTTTTCCTTTGACAAGAATATTGTTGTTGTTAAGGTGAATTCAACTTGTAGTTCTTAGTACTGCACCATTTAATCTTCTCAGGAAATGCCCCACCTGTTTGTTTATATCTCCCCCGTTTCACTATTTTACAATTTCAACTGTTACCATCAAACTGACAGTACCTGTAAATGAAGGTTGATGTCAGAGGCTGAAGTAGCATGTACCTGTCCGAATGATGCAGATTGACAGCTGTTCGACCACTCAAAGCGCTTTTACAATACATCGCATTCTGAGTATATTAACATTCATACACCGGTAGAACAGCCACCAGGGGAAATTCGGGGTTCAGCATCATGCCCGACATGCAGCCTGGAGGAGCCAGGGATTGAACCGCCGACCTTCCGATTAACCCGATCTACTTCCTGAGCCACAGCAGCCCCTAGGTAACAGGTTTTATCCCCCCAACTCTCTAATAGACAGGCATAAATTTTTTTCTTTCTGTCCTGCTCTGACTGAATGTAGTATTAGAAAATAATGTTGTACGCTCCTGATTTAAAAAGATGCAATAGTAGAGATCCCATCCTTAATTGATTAAAAGGTAGTTTGGACTGTGGGACATCCTACTGGGACCTGTTTGTACCTGTATAGAGATTGATGGAGTGTCTGTTTAAATTTCAAGCATAGCCAAACATTTGCTGTGACATGTTTTCTTTTCATTTTCTTTTTCTTTTTATATATGTAACTTGTTTATTATTTCCTACGCCATATCTTGTAATAGTGTCTACTACCATAACCCTGAGGTGATATGAAGATTCTCTTGCTGCCATGTACCAACCCTTTCTTTATCTTAAAAACAAAACAAAACAATAAAACTCAATGGCAAAAAATGATTATGTAAAATCCATTTATTTGGGTTTTGTCCAGTTTTTATTTAACAGGTTAAAACTGTACATACTACTATGTAGTACATACTACGTATGAACAAATGATGCTGGGTTATAAAAAGATGCTGTCTGAGCTTTTTCACACATTTCCATTCAAGATTAAGTTAATGCTTCCAGGAAGGATTTCTGGAGTCGGGCCAAAAGAAAACCACTGTCATCTAGTGGTGAATCTGAATTATTACACACAAACCAATGCTGCTCCATTTACATTTGCAGGAAAATCTGTTTAACTTTTAAACAACAAAAACAAAAAAGAAACATTTCCTCAACTACTGACTAGTCAAGTACTCACAAGGCTGTATTAACAACTGGGTAAAATGAACAACTGCCCTGGGACCATCGGGGGCCAGAATAGTCAGTGGTTTTGGGGAATTAGATTAAATCTAATGTTGTTTGCTATATATGGTGTAATTGCCATGTCAATTGAAAAAGCCCCTCAGCGGCTTCTGGGTCAGTCTATAAGGGTCCACAATGGGGGTCACTAGGTTAAGCTAGCCATGTGTAGTAGTAATATAGTATCATTTAATGGTTCTTTTATTTAGTGTGTTCCAAGTGTTTAATGAAATATTTGCATAATTAGTATAAAAAGAAAGCACTTACTTACTTTGGGTATTGTTATAGTTTGATTTAGCTGAAAGAAGTAACAAGTTAACCAACACATACTTACCTTTACAGGATAAAACAGAGATGACAGAGATGTTTTGCTTTTTACATTATAGAGAATTATCCTGATAATCACACTTAATACCACTTTGTTTAATTTCATCAATTATCTAACTTCATCTGTTGCCTTTATTTTATATGGCTTTTATTAGTAATTACCTACTTAATTATTTTATTACTTCTGTTGTAATGTAAAGGTTTTTAATTGCTGTTAAAAACATTACATTTGGACAGCTATTAAGGGTTCTGGAACCAGCATGAATCTAACTTTTGATACTTTAGTACATATAACACTTTTAAATTGTTGAATGTTACATATGTACCTTTATTGGAATAATAAATAATAATTAATAATAATCAGTTTTAAGAATTGAGTAGTCTACCATTTCCACTCTATGATTAAATGTGTTGCTGGGTGCTGCTTTTGCAATTTCACTTGCTGACGTAAATTAATTTATTATCAATGATATGCAGAATATTGAACATACGATCCACTTTCATTGACTTCAAGCTTGTGTCAAATTGATTTATGAAAGCCTAAAGGACAGTGTTTGGTTATGCAGTTGGAGCTCTCTGCCTGGACATATGTATAATTCATTAATATAATAACGAGTATTTGTATAGCATTTTACAAATCCAGTGTTACAAAGATTTTTACACACAACAAATAATGTTAAATAAAGAGTGACATTTTAGAGGGGTAAAGTCACACCACAAGTAATAAGAATAATGAAATATAAACTACTATACTACTGCCTATGACAGAAAAATCACAGGATTCTGCAATGTCCTAACCACTGGCTCTGCATTAATTTCTCAAAGTACAATTCTGACCAGTCATCTGCAATATAGAGATTACAATGGACCATAACTGTTCTCCTTTAAGTCTATATAACAATTATAAGCCCATTGTTGAGTCTTCTGTTTGCTTCCTCGGGGGAAAACTGAGTATTAACCAAAATGAAAAAGCCTATTCCAGCAGCAACCATAAAAGAGGGATGATCCATTTCTCAACCTTTTGAAAATGTTAGGGACTAAATAAAAAACCTGTAAATGTTCTGATGTCAAAGTACTCTTGATCCGATTATCCTAGAGGTGGACGAAGCACTCAGATATAAAACTAGCAGTACCACAATGTCCTCTCCTCTCTTGTCCTCTCAGGTATCTCAAAACATGGACAAATAAAACAAAAACTACCTGGACTGCTAGGTGTGAATGATAACAAGTGAGAGAATATATTTCTAATTAGTTGGTTGAGCCAAACAACAATGTGTCTTAAATCAATAATACCCTGCTCTGGGGATGTTTTTCAAATTTTCAGATACATTTATCATTTATTAGTTAAGCTAGCAAATAACTATTTAGCAAAATAAAAAAATACACGTATCAAAAGTACAAGAAGTGAAACTACTCATCCTGCTGAATAACCCCAGTCAAAATAATATATATTATATAATTTCATTATAATAATTGATGCATTAGTGTGTAGTCATCATTTTAATGTTGCAGCTGGTAAATATGGGACTAACTGTACATTCATGTGGTATAACTGTTAGTTTGCTGTCCATTAGGAAACTTATTTATTAGCAGTATTTGCAGTAAAACCAACATTTTAGTGGCGCAGCAACAGCTCTGGGACAAATGATCAATTTGTAAAAAAAAGCTTCAAACTGTTTGGTATACTTGGATGACAATGACAGTTCAACACACCTTTGTCGTAACGTCCATATTGTTTCAACATTCCGATTTAAAAGCACATGAACACACCACAGTCAGACTCCACAACTCTGCAGATGGGACCAACCCGAGGAGCACGTGAATGCAGCATAAAAACTACTTTATATACTGCCGGATGGCCTAATCTAAAATTATACACCACACAATAATTTTGTTTAACACATTTTGTATTGATGATCTGAAGCTATTAACTAAATGTGTCAAATTATTGTAGTAGTGGAGTAAAAAGTGAAATTATAAAATAGCATAAAATGGAAATACCTATAAATTGTATTTAAGTACAGTCCTCGAGTAAATCTACGTATTCAACTACTGGATTGCCAATAAGTATTAATGTAAACTGTTGGATTTAAATATTCTAAATATACACATAAAACATCCTTATCTGCTAGCATCACATAAGCATTGCCCCAGGACAGAGAAAAAAAACCCAAGAAAGAAGCAAGGTGGCCCGGGGTGGAGTCAGCTCAGCCTCACTCAGTCAGTACGTGGCCTCGGCAGTTTGATTTTGTAGCCTCCAGCTACACTTGGCTATCGGAGAGGCCTTTATCCAGGGAAAGTGGAATGAAAACAGACGACCAGTAGGATTTTTAAACACATTTCATCGCTTTATATCGACAGAAGATAAAACAAACGGCAGGTGAGTGAAAGCAGGAAGTGGTCTTTGAGTTATCTGTGTTAGCTCATACTGCGGCAGCATTGTCGTCTTCTGCGATACAGC